TGACGTACGATGGAGGATCTGATTTCGCTAAATTCTGGTGCTCTTCCTTCTTCAGATCGTAGTCCAGGTCAGTGGGGCCGAAAATTTTAAGCAGGGCATTCTTAGCGCTAATCCAGGTCACATGCTTGGTTTGCTCCGATTCCCATTATCTTAACGCATTGTTAATGAAGCACAAATTAAGATTCGTCAGTTTTGTAGCTTCGGTCAATCCGTAAACTCGGGTAAAGCTTTCATAACGTTCAGTAAATTTACGTATGTCTTCGTGTGACTCACCGCCAAATTTAGGGAAATCTTTAGGAGAAAGTTGCATTCCGGACTTTTGGAAGACAGTAGTAGTAGTAGATCCGCTCTGTTGTTGTTGTTGTTGCTGTCTTTGCTGTTGTTGTTGGCTTCTCAAGGTGGTTATCTCTTGAAGAAGATCCCCGATTTTTCTTCCATATACATTGTTGGTGCTGATGAGTGACTGGAAAGCTGCATCTCGTGTTGCTTCGTACAGCGCTTTGAGGTCCGCTCTGGGAATTGTAAATGGGAATGTTCCATTTTTGATTTGGTCTAATGCGTCAGCTTCTTCAGTAACACGTAGCACGTTGTAAATGTCGATTAGGAAAGGAATGTCTTCTAGACGGAATCTTCTGAATATGTCGTGTTTCGGTATGAGTAATTGCAGTCCGCCGAAAATAGCTTGAATCTGGGTGTCCTCGAGTGTGATGCTCATCGTTGTTGATTTGGGGTTGGATGTTGAGGAAAGGCCACTATCGGAATCTGTCACTTTGTTGTTGGGTTTTCGTGACTTACCTGCCTGGTTGGCAAGCCGTAATTCTTCGTCAGTTTGCTCGAAATTCTTGTCCGGTATACTGGTGTTACTGCGAGTGTCAGGCATTAACTATGGAAAGGTAGGCTATATAATAGCTCGGTGTTGAAAGGTCAGCTGGATTGTCCATATGGTAGATCAGAATGGAAAAGTGCATTAAATGTATACTATGACATTAAAGACCACTGGAGGCACCATTGTAACGTAGGGTTCTTCTTTATTAAAAGCTCTCAATGCTAACAGATGACTTCGCCTAACACTGAATTGTTACAACATAGACGGGATTGTTAAATACCGCGTAGAAGAGGTAGAAACATCGAGAAATTCTACGGACAAGTGTGCACTCAAATGTAGTGCTGACTCTGCACTCTGGACCGGATGTCCTGAGTGCTTCGTGCGTAATGTGTATGCACGTTGTGCTGACTTCAAAGTAACTAACACTCAAGTGGACACGTAACGATATTACTGTATGTGACATTGTCTTAACACGTTTTAACTGCATGATACAATTAACCATGCTACAGCAGAATTAAACCTTTTTATGCTGTAGACCGTCCATGCGCATTGGCGTTCTGAAGGCGACATAAAACCACCGCTGACCTATGGTCAACAGAGGCTCACAAATAATTCGCTTTCTTAACTGAATTTCTTCATCGGGAAATGCTGATTTTCATAAGGAAACTCGCACTCCTTCGAATACCGCCCGCTGGAGGGTTAACATTCAGTTTTGTAGTCATTTTTCAGAACGTGGTTTTAAGGTTTTAGCAGTTTTTATTAATATATAGTTTGAGAGTGATTTTTGAGAAAGCGGTTTTAAGGTTTTAACAATTGTTTATGATATATGGTTTTGAGAGGGTTTTTTTCGAAAAGAAGTTTTAAGATTTTAACAGTTTTTATTAAAAAATTAATGATATTCGATTTTGACAGATATTTTTTAGATATCGATTTAAAGGTTTAAACAGTTTCTAATAATAAATGCATAACTTGACTGGGATTTTTCGAGAAGAGGTTTTGAGGTTCTACCAATTTTTAATAATGAGACTATTAATATATATACTTGTTGTTTTTGACATTAATGCGGAAAATCAGTCCGGCCCACAAGTCAGCACACAGCTTCCGGCTTTCGTTGTCGGCGAATTTGTGCAATATTTGAAGGTTCGTTTCTAACCATAAGGTACGAGAATACTTCTATAGAAGTTTATTGGTTGTTTGATTTTGCTCCGACACCTTTTCAAAAATTGTTGGAGTGCATTTCATCAAAAGTATGGCTTCGCTTCTGCTTTCCGCAGTTTTTAGTTTTTATTTTACAAAACTAGCAGACCCGGCGCAAATTGCGCGGAATAAGTCCGCGAAGGATTATTACTTTTTCATCACTAAACTCAAAACTAAAAAATAACGATTACAAATGTAATTTTAATGAGCGAAACCTAGTGCAATTTAATTTATTTCCACTGGCGAATGTTTTAAGAGATTAACGTCTCGTAGATTCGTTGGCTCAGATTACGAAATAACGTTAAGCGTAGAAATTTGAAAGCTGCCGTTTCCCTATGTACCTTATTACGTTTCCATGTGTATCTCGTAGTTCTAGCTACAGACAGTAAATAAATAATAAATAAATAAATTCAAAGATCCACGTCTGCCGCTCCCGATATCCGGCAGCATTTTCCTGATCGGCGCAGGCGTCCCGTTACAGTACTGTTGTATGTACCACAATCCCTGCCGAGAGCTGGCATTGTCCAACTTCCCGTGTTTTATTTTGTTTTTGTTAGGGAATCATATATAAAAAATATTCGAAAAATATAATCAAAATTGGCGTGCTTCTCACGTCAAACTTTTTGGATGTTGGATCAAAGCGTTGGAATTTATAACAAAATTAAGTCGCTTAATTTCTGCAAAGGTTACTGGTACAAAATTCTAAATGGAATTTTAAATTCCATAGATGATTTTCATAAAATGCGTTAAAAGCAACAACAATTTTTATGACAATTGTAGTAACATATTAATTAGGTCAACAATTTCCTTCTAAATTTTTTTTAAGCGCATGCATTGTTCGCATTAGCATAGCCTCTCGCACTCGAGGTGGCAGTTATAACGTTAATTGGTTTTTGACGTTCCCGTAGGTTTTGCATGTTAAGTTTTTAAATTTTTTCTCAAAACTGGTTTTGGTTTTCACAAAAGTGACTTTTTTGGGCTCATCTACATGCTGTACTTTGCGTTATCGAATGATATACGGGGACCTAAGTTTCGCCTGCTGTGTCGCTCAGAAAAGGGAGACAGACACGATTTTTGTGCACCTTCTTATTCTTTTATTATTTTACAAAATGAGCAATACAGAAAAGTTTTTTATGAATAATGTTTTCCATATGCATTCCCGTTTTTCATCAAACATTCTAAATATGCTGAACTCTGAATGTATGCCAGTTAATCAACATTCAACATTCCAAGTTAGAACTACTCGTACAACATGTCTCAAAAGAAAAGGTTTTACAATGACATACTGTGTTGTTGAGTCAACTTGGCACCTTCTTTACAGTGAGTCCTATCCGCTTGACGTATAAGTACAAATTGTAGGTATAACTCACCGTATCAAAAGGTGCCAAGTTGACTCGACAACACAATGCTATCCTAAAGGCTAAAACAAAGCAAGTACTCGTACATCTATTCACTAATGTCATCCAGTACACGAGTATGCAGTTTGCTCACTGGACAGTGTTGATACTCGTAGCTCATGGTCAGTTAGTGATTTTGTGGAAAGAAACAACAAAGCCCAATTTCGAGCAGTTGCTCATGAAATTTAAAATCAACTGCTATTGCAGTTAACTGCATTCTATTTCTTCGAAAAATTGATTTACCGGTGCCACCAAGCCGGTTCCGGCAAAGATAGCTTCGGTACAGCATTCATAGTTCATACTCAAAATTATATATTAATATTTTAATTTTTAAAAACTGCTAAAACCATAAAACCGCTTTTTGAAAAATCACTCAAAACTATATATTATTATTTTTATTTTTAAAAACTGCTAAAACCTTAAAACTGATTTTTGAAAAATCACTGTCAAAACTATATTAATATTTTTATTTTTAAAAAACTGCTAAAACCTTAAAACTGATTTTTGAAAAATCACTGTCAAAACTATATATTATTATTTTTATTTTTTAAAGCTGCTAAAACCTTAAAACCGCTTTTCGAAAAATCACTGTCAAAACTATATATTATTAATTTTATTTTTAAAAACTGCTAAAACCATAAAACCGCTTTTTGAAAAATCACTGTCAAAACTTATATTTTTATTTTTATTAATAAAACCCGCTAAAACCTTAAAACCGCTTTTTGAAAAATCACTGTCAAAACTATATATTATTAATTTTATTTTTAAAAGTTTTAAAAGTTTTAAAAGTTTTAAAAGTTTTAAAAGTTTTAAAAGTTTTAAAAGTTTTAAAAGTTTTAAAAGTTTTAAAAGTTTTAAAAGTTTTAAAAGTTTTAAAAGTTTTAAAAGTTTTAAAGATTTTAAAAGTTTTAAAAGTTTTAAGACTTGGCCCACTTTGTACCTACAGTGTCAAAATAACCGCAACCTTTCTATATTCCGATAATTCCTTTCTATATTCCGTTTTGTACTATCGGTTTAACAGTTCATACTTGGTTTGACCTCAAAATTAGTGCACATCGACGATACGGTAATTGATGGGTGTTCGGCCTTTTTATCATTTCTTTTTTGTTCATTTTAACGGAACGTAGAGATATCTAGCCTGTCACGCTGCAGCTTTCCATAAAATTAACCTGTCAAAGTTTGTTACGACTCCGATAAGAACTGATAGCAACAACGCAGTACCATTTAAAATGCAGTGTACAAGGTCATGCGCCTTTGTACAGGTTTGTAATGAAAGTCTACGGGCTACCGTGCAGGAATCTGTGCCTGGTTATGATCTTAGAACTTCCGTGATCATTTTGTTTTACACCACCAGTAGCAATATGTGTGTATACTGTATATGGTCATGAGAATGTCTACTATGGAATAGTGTTGCGAGAAAGACGGTTTGCATGCTGATAATAAGCTGCGAATTCGAATGAATTAATCTGCTTGTTACTCTTTCAAAGCCGTCAATTAATATAGATTGAAAAGTTAAATGCAGAACGAACTGAACATTTTTCGTTATAATAAAATGGATATAAAAAGGGAAAACTCAACAGATTCCATTATTTCTTCTTCTGAAGACGAAAAAGATGCTTGCGAACCGGCTGCCCATGTTGACGTCATGGCAAAGGAAGTCGACCATATCAATTATCCGCGGTTCATCCATAATCCTGCCCTTCTAACAATTCCGGTTGTCCTTCTGTTTGGCCTTTCTTTTGGTGTGTCTCAACCAGTATATACGGAATTAATTAAAGACAGGGTAACTATATTGCTAAATTATCATTAACTAGAATACTGTCTCGTTTTCGAAAGCAGCTAAAACGCGCATCGCATCGTATTAATACTGTAAATGCACGTTTATTCAGAAATCAGTATAATAATTATGTAATACTGAATGCATGTTCAAACTCTAAACAGAAATCAGATTTACAATGTACGACAAAAAGAGGTTGAACCGATCAGTCGGTGATAATCGCAACGACACGCACCAACTTGGACGCTGACTACTTTCAGACGCTCGCGCTCCGTGAATATCAAAGTGCAGCTATACTAGTTGCATATCAAAAGGTGTAGAAACAAATTTTAAACTTTTTGATACTAAACCTGTGGCGGTTTATGGCGAACCGCACAAATTCTAGCCATTTTGCTTTCCCATAGACTTAAGCATTGACTGCAAGCCAAACGGTTATGCGCACAGATCCTATGCTGTGCCTACGAGAAAGCAAAATGGCTAGAATTTGTGCTGTTCGCCATAAACAGCCATTAGTGGTCAAAAGTTTAAAATTTGTTTACACCTTGATATGCAACTAGTATAGCTGCACTTTGATATTCACGGAGCGCGAGCGTCTGAAAGTAGTCAGTAAGCGTCCAAGTTTTAGTGGTGGCGTGTCGTTGCGAGGTTATTTTGAACCGCGGACCGACTGATCGGTTCAACCTCTTTTTGTCGTACATTGTACGTGAACAATGTACTGAAGATCGATATGTGACAATTTTTGTTCCTGTTTTGAACGAAACTGGTACACTTCCCGATGACTCAAAGAGATCAAACATTAAATCGCAACAATTTTGTCTAAGTTTCACCTGACCCCGGAATGAATAATTTTTGTCGCGAAAACCTTCCGGAAGAATAAGCTAAAACAAATTGTGTTGCATTGCGATATCAGGTCTGCGAAATTATCCTTGGGTACCCTAAAGAGCTTTGCGAAGATAACAAATTATCTGCAAATCGCCATGCCGAGGACTCAGTCCGGACGCTGGCATCTAATTATGTGTTTTATCGCAATTTGGTGATGAGTCTTCCTTGTGTTCTGCTGTCGCAGTTTATCGGTAAGCGTGAGTTCTTATTTATATTTTTTGTAATTCTATAAGAAAACTTCCAGTGCGGTAGAGGAAGCGTAATTACAGAAACAGAGCCCATTATTGCCTCTAATTTAAATTTACGTTGCAGGACAATGGAGCGATAAATACGGTCAGTTTATAAAATGACCAAATGCAATTTACTGCAGTTTGTTGGTCTGGTATTGATCCGGCTGCATGGCGATAGTTAAACATATGCTGCAACCGAAATGTGTTTTAGATTTCGTGTTTCCGAATTTTAAATAATATGCTTTATGTTGCGTATTACCAGTAATTTGAAATTCCCAATGTCAATTATGAGAACCTACCATAATCACTGAACGCATATTGTACTTACCTATCATTGTCACAACCTGGTCTGTGTACGCAGGGCGCAAAGTACCAATGCTGATGCCATTTCTGGGGCTATTTCTTTGTGGAGTAATTCTACTACTTTGTGCATATCTCCCGATACATCCCATGTATATGCTCTTTGCATCTCTGCTGGCGGCGTGCTTGGGAGGATGGATGGTATGTACAATGCGTCTTAAAGTTGGTACATTTGCACAAAACTTAACCAAGGCCAAACACTAAGAAAAAAAAATAACCCTTAATTTGGTACTCATTTCGTTTTGATTGTTTGCTGTATACAGCAAAATTATTTCATAGATGTTTCCGATGGCCTTGTTTGCATACATCGGCGATTACACTAACGAATCAAACCGGACTCTAATCATGGGCATAGCGGCAGGAGTCCAGGCTATCGGAAATACAGCTGGAATGTTAATAGGAGGAACACTTTTGCACCACTACGGATTTGCCGTTCCCTTTTATTTATTTTGTGCTCTTCATGTTGCCAGTTTCATCTATGTAGTTATATTTGTAAAAGATCGCCGAGAATTTCCGCAACCATTGACATTTAAGCTCGAAACATTCACATCTTTATTCAACTGGGCAAATTTAAAAGATAACCTTCACACACTAAGACGCAAACGAACTGGAAATACCCGGCTACATTTTGGCCTGTTGATTATTTGTGTTCTCATCAGTGCCACCTGCATCGACGGTAACATTTTGTCATTTCACGATCAGTTAAGACGTACTGAAATTACAAAAGGCTATACCGAACCTTAAACTGCTTCATAAAATTAGTTGACAATAATTTGATCATATTCTTTATTTGATTATATTTTATTATTTCCATGCACGATTATTGTACTTGATATTGGCTGATTCTGACAATAAAACAGGCGTTGTAAATACGAGTATATACGGTATGTATAATTAGTAATGCAGCACAAGTTCAGTGTACTGTATGCATACTTCGTAGTAGTTCGTACAGGATAGGTATATCTACATTATGCAGTTTAAATGTGTAAATTCCCGGCTTGTGCAATAATTTAATTACTCGTTCAACAGGGGAGCCTCAAGTATTCCAGCTATTTGTGGAATTCGCTCCTCTTCGCTGGAACGTCGAAGAGTTCTCTACGTTTACCGCAATACAAGGTGCCATAGCCGGCGGCTTAATGCCCATACTGTTTTTGGTGTTCAAAAAGAATCTGGCCATGAAAGATACCGCTATCGGTATAATCAGCATCCTGTCGGCAATTGTCTGCAGTTTCGGTTATTCCCTAGCTCATAAATCATGGATCGTTTTTGTGGCTGCAGCGGTGGGTATATTGCGAGGTCTACATGCTGTGGCAGCACGATCCATTCTAACCGGTCGAGTAGAGAAAAGTGAAATTGGCAAAATGATGGCCATTACCTCATCCATACAGGCATTAAGTCCTACTCTAACCGGCGGTATCCTGCTCAATGTTTTTGGTGCCACAGCTGGATTTTGGCCTGGATTTTGTTTTGCTCTGTCAGCTTGGTGTTTTATTTTTTCGTTGGTTAGTTTTTGTTATATTGATGTCGATCGGCGAAAAGCCCAGTATGGGGAGAATGGAAAATAGCTCAAGAAGCGGGTAGGTAATAAATTATATTGAAGCGTAAAATGTGATAACTGAATGTGATAATTATAGATGGCCGGGGGCATAATGATATTTTATTTAAATCTTGTTTCATTTGCTTGCTGCTTTATGTCTGTACACCGTACATCACTTTCTAACCTATTTAACAAGTTTACTCGCTAATGGCGTATTTTAAGCTTTATTCTCAAGTTCTAACAATCACTGCTGTTGCACAGTTATGCTGTTTTATTGTACTTATTTTCGTAAATTTCAGTTAAATGCTGTGGCATAATATAACGTAAAGTAAAAACTGATGACAGCCATTTTATTGTTGTAAGTATCAATACATCTAGTATATGGATTACGTGTACTGCGACGATTTTAATCAAACAATAGTTGTAACCACAGCGTTTCGTCGACGTGTAGGATAGGATCATAGGATTATCAATCAAGAAAAATTCATTAATTTCACTTTCCCTAAATTTTGTCTCATTACAAGTTGATACAGCGTTGAGGCAGGAAAGTAGTTCACTTTGGTAATAAGACAAAGGATTTCGCACAGGTACATTTAGTGCATTATTCTACATTATCAGAATTTTTTATTTCCATCAAACGGCAGTCATCCTCCTTTCAGGATTATGTCCAGTTCTCTGCATTTTGCAGCAGATGAAGTACACGATGTAAAACGCAATCACAAGGCAAACCAGCACCTGAAATTTTGTCAGTGTGTAGAAAATTTGTCGCATTACAACCGAGATACTAAAACGTCGCAAGAAAACATTCCGGTAATAAAACATGAATGAAATTGTTGCTACTTTTTATTAGCTGCTATCCTGAATACAAACTCCTATAAGCCTAAAAAGGTATTTTCAATGCACTGTAATTGTCATCCTACCGCTATTCCGACGGGAAAGAAGGCCAACATCAAGCGACTGCAAATGCAAATTGTAAATCTCCTAATTCCGTATTTGCTGCATTGCATAATACGAAGGCGATCATGACCAAGTTTTTTAAGTTTCTTAAACAGACGTGTCTTTAATGAAATAAATATTTTAATCAACATTGCAGTTCAAACAATTCTTACCTAACGGGAGTCAATCCAGTATGGGCATACAAATTATCAGAATAATCATTCCATGTGCAACAAAAAGGCGTCGTAATCGGGTTGTTCTTCTGAGGAAGTGTGAAACAACAATATGCTTCCACGTTAATGTCACCGGCATTTGCCATCGTCGAGTTTTCCAGTTCCGTTACTATGCTTAGCTCATTCGATAGAGCAGTTGTAGCGGCTTGATCGTAAGAACTTTCTAATAGGCTCCCATCACCGTCATATTCCGGTATATCCATAGGGCAAAAAAACTGACCACAGTCCATTTTTCCACCTAATCGGTATATTTGATTAAGGGACGATGCATTTATACAATGACAAAGTGACAAAAGCGGTTTTACTACGTTTCATTTACTGACCTAAAAAACAAAACACTTGTCTGCATGATACTGCAACAATAAGAGTGACAACAACATTTGACAGAGACATCACCGATTAGTTACAGAAAGATCAAGGCATACTTGGAATGGTTTATCGAGTTAAAAACAACTCGTTTGCATCAGGATTTAAGCATCACAATTACAGCAGCATCCTCTTTGGGTTGACTACTTGACTGCAGACTCTGATTTACGAATTGTATGTACGGGACAAGCGCATCCGCTTGACGGTAATTGCATTTCGCGGTTGTCGTTATGATACAGGCGGCAATAGAATTTTTTATAGCTGTACAACAAGCTGGCAATACGCAGGCAAGTAATAATTATAAATTTGTACCAGTCGTGGATTAGCAAAGTTCTGGTCGCCCAGCAGAGGAATTCCGTCAACAGCGAGCGAGGCACCTGCTTATGTACAATACTGCACAGCCCCGTTTCGTTTATATTCATGCGATCTCGAATTGACCGGTCGTTACCAAAATACTGGACTTTTCGTGATATATAACGCAAAATTTTAGTTGAAATATCCAGCAAGATATGTCTACGGTGAGGTTTCTTTCAGTTTACCAAAATAACAGAAAAATTAGTTCCCTAAACTGCGCATACAGTTTTGCATTTGGTTTTGCCGCAAGTTCACATAACTGCCAATATTAAATTTTAAACATGCTGTAACTCGACTATCTGTACATGTACAACTTCATCACATAAACAAAGTTATAAGCTTGACCATTGTAATTATACTGACACATGAAAAAATTAATATTTTTTAGGCAATGAAACTCTTTTATCCCAGCAACTTAATTTTTGAATTACGTAGGTACACATATATTTGTTAGCCTTGAGTGGGCAACCGGGCGATTAGCGCCAAGCCAAGAAGAGCCAGGAGTCCAGCTTCTGCAGGATTAGTTTGACGGTTAGCCTGTGGTGGAGGCGGATGGTGATGATGCCGTCTTAGGAGCAACAACCACCATGGATCCTGTTAAAAAAACGCATGATACATTTCATAACTGGTTTGACCAATGGGCAGCCACACAGCAATGATTATAGAATCGATACGATCGAGCATGGCAAAACTGTTGTTTGTAATGCGGGCACAGTGCACTGCCGTCTATACTCCCTGTATCACGGTGCAAAATTCGCTCAGCATTCGTAAATGACTAAATTAATTAACAGTATACGTATACATATTGTTCATTACATAATTTACTGTACCTCTGTACTTGTATGTGCTCAGTTGCTACCAGCTTTTTTAATGAATGTGTGTCAGCGTTTTCAGTCTTACTGATTTGGATGGCGGTTGCCAACAAAACGTACCTAACTAAGCAGTAATTAAATAACCAGTAAATTTATTAAAAAAAAGCAAAGAAACATAAATTTTTTTCTTGTTTTTGAAAAGGTCTTTTACGTACCGAGCCCCAGCCGCCGTAGCCACCGCCCCATCCGCCATAACCGCCTCCGTACGACCCTCCCCCGTATCCGCCACCGTATCCACCGCCGCCGTATGATCCCCAGCCGCGAGCACTGCGGTTAGCGAACATATCCACCAGTTCCGTCAAATTGGCGTTGGAAAAATTTCCACTAATGTTATGCAAACGACCAAGTTCCAACAAGCGGGCCAGAGTGTTGTCGGTGCTGTTATCCATCGAATCCAATATCGAAAATGCTTCGCTTAATTCCGTCGAAGACGTCACGTTTGGACGGTCACCGTTCCTCAGCATAGCGAAGAAATCCTGCAGAGTCTTTCTCGTTATATTGGGGTGGTGAAAATTCAAAGTAGCTGATTGATTAGCTGAAGGAAAAGGGACATCTAAAAGGTCATGGTGAAGAACGGAAGGAGGCGATCGGTTCACTTCGGAGGGAGCGGTATCCGCAAGTTCTCCAAGTACTTTTGTCAATGACCTGAAGTACATTTTGAACGCGTGCGGAACACCAAAAATATAGTATAGCTTTATTACTGAATTGTGCGGATAAACCCTTTGCGGTTTGCGACAGATTATCGCTATTAGCCTTGTCATTAAAAATCATATCGCAAGAAACGCATCGCTAATTCCGAAATTTTTCTTAGCTGATAAGAAACTGAACCTCCATAATATGAAATTCGGACACATTTGCTTACTTACGTATCGCAACGTTCAGACATGCAAGTGTGCTCTAAATGGGGAACACCATTTTAAACCGCTACCCCAAGATTGGTAAGAAATACAGAACACCATAGGTCACTGACAGATGACCATCAACTCTGAAGTTCTGAACCAAGGTTTCTTTAAAAGTGCCAAATAAATAAATCTGACACACTAATCACAGATATTGTGTGTGTGTGGCTGTGTGCGGCATGTACAGAGTACATGAGTGTTAATTAAATTAATTAACTTTACGACCATTCATGTTCTCAAGATATATTGGTGATCTGTGTCTGTCATACAGATCGATAAGCCAGATAAGTTACAAAGCATTTTTAACACCGACCTAACAATAATAATGCATTCTTAATTACAATAGATGCATTTTTTGCACAAAAAAAGATTATGTGTCAAGCAATGGTACTTGCAATAGTATTCTTCGAAATTATTACGTGTTTATTGGCTTGTTCATCACCACATTATCGGTTCACCGATTATCAGCATAATATCTTATCTCCACCTTGGCCTGTCTTGGTTGTCCAGGATGCTGTTGGATTTCGACAGAAGTAGGTGAATAATCTTTTCACAAACACGTCAACATTTTTGAACTTGGTCATGCTAATTACTGTAGAATGCCGCCACAGCCACACAAAATTATAGCACTGATTTTTTTGTTAATTTTCTTTTTGACGAACAGCACCGCCCTGCTTTCTGGGTACATCAAGCCTCTTCCGACTAATGCGGCTAATATCGCGCAACAGCTAAACGAGACAACCGATGAGAAAGCAAGTGTGCTGACGTTTTTCGGTGCTTTTCCTACCAATGGCAGCTTATTCTATCGCCTGGAGCTAGTACGTCCTGCTCTGGACTATGCACTGGACCTTGTTAGAAATACCACGTTTCCTGGAGATAGTTTTGAATTTCAATACATCGGAACGGACGTCAACGAGATGGACGCGTGTGACGCTGTTGACAATTTAATTGTTTACAAAACTATCGACCACGTGACACAGCTACGAGTTTTGTCCACTGTCCTGGAGGGACCACCAATTTTACCTGTGGGCTATTTCGGGCCTGGATGTTATTTTGGAGTGCGGGACATGGCGAAGTGGTTAAACGGTAAGTGCGATTTCTTTTCGATTTCGGCATATAATATAATTGGCATTTCCTTCGAACTGCGTTATGCATGCATTTTGTACAAAGCTGGAGGACGTTTACAATTATGTGAATTGTTGGGAGCAAGTAATCATATCCCGGCAATTTATATAACTAATAATCTATTTTCTTCGGTTTCGATATTGGTTTTGTTAATGGTAATTACCGGAGTAAAATAGGCAGTAACAGTCATATACGTATATCCCGTATGTCTAAGGGCTTATTTTTATTTTGCGACACGTTGAAAACGTTTTGCTTGTGGGTTTTTATATACTATCTTAAAACTAATTAATACATTGTAAAAAGAAACTCAGAAGAAATAGACATCCTCCTTCAGCTGCTGTTGTGAACTCGATTCAAATGCACGGAAGTTGTGGGATTGTTTGCCATAATTTGATTTGTATTCCACAGTTGTCAATCATATCCTTTTTGACGCGTTTGCTTCAAGCACAGAATTATCTAACAAAACCGCATTCCGTACCTTGATAAGAACTGGATACACGGACGAGAGACTTCTGGAATTTTATCAAAATATCCTTAATTATTTCGGTTGGAGTAATGTCACCATATTTTATCAAAGAGATGATCCTGTATGGCGAGCAATATATAACTCGGTTAGCAGTCTTACTGTACAACATGAGGCGTTTTGCGACCTGAATGCGCGTGGAAGCTATAACTTGCGTCGTCTGCTGGAAGACATTGCATACAATTCAACAGGCACGTAAATTACAAATACAAAGTACCCGGTAAACGCAGAATTTAATATCAGAGCAAATTTTGCATGAAATTGTTTGATGTACGGCATATTTGTTCGTACTCTGTGGATGAAAATGCTGAAATTAAGTTGTAATGTATACTTACGCTTTATGGCTAGGTAAAACACTGTAACGCTCTTAGGGAAAACTGAACTGCTTTGTTACAGCCATTCTTGTCTTCGGCAACATGGAATGCGTGCAAGAGCTGCTTGTAAGTTTTAGAAACTGAAATGTTTGCTTTTAATGTTAACCTTGCGATTTGTAGTCAACGTCAGTGTACTGAACTGTCTTGCAGATAGAAGCTGTCAATTTGAATCTCACTGTCGGAAATCAAATGGTACGTGTATTTCGTCAGTAGGTATGGATCACGAAAGGTAATTATACTCATAAGGCAACTAAATGGCAAGAATCGAAAAAAGCATCACTGTACTCTGTATTTTTTATATTTAGACTTTTGTAATAAATCGGTTCTTCAAAGCTCGCTATTGGGGATCACTGCCTTTGGATGGGGATGACCAGATCGATATCATTGCCGCGAATCTAACAGAAGACTACAAGGTTTGTAAAAAACATTTGAAAACTAGTCTTTCAAGGACATTTAGCTAGCACAGGTCAAAAGCTAAGCAAAAAGTTTAATTTTATATGCGTACGTTTCACGCAGATAATTTTTTATTTGACTCTGAACTTCAACTTTTGCAGGAGAACCTGAGACAAGCTTATAACAGGTCACTCGTGGTCAGCTATTACTACAACTCAACTATTCGAAATGGAATGGCGGCCCTCAACGAAGTTTTAATAGATTACGTTTCCCAAAAATATCCAAATTATACTCATTATGAAGAAGTTATAAAAAAGGAAGGGGTGAGTTAACCACTGCACATAGGCATGTTTTAGCGGGAAAGGTTGATGTTCTTTAATTTTTGAGTTCTAATTTAGATAAATCCCGTTGTATTATCCTACTACTATGGAGTCTTCATGTACGCCAAAGCCGTCCAGAGCTTAATAAATGCATCAGGTGCAAATTATCGCATAAGCAAGGAGGACAGATTTCGTTTGTACGACGACGGGAAACTAATCGCCGAGGAAATTCGCCGCATAAGGAGCTTTGATATCCCCCATATTGGAACAATAACGCTGAACGAAAATGGAGATTTCCCTGGGCAGTTTTCTTTAAAAGTTTATGATCAAGAGAGACACACTTTTCGAACGTGGGCTGCTTTTGAGACTTTTAATCAAGAAATGCAGATTATTCATCATCAGTATGATTTTGATGCAGCCGAAAGTCCGTTGCGACGGCCCAGTATGCCTGGACCAAGTAAGTATATTCAATTTGTTTTGCGTGATCGCTTTTATAAATAATGCCAGTTTACGAAGAAAACGTTTTTTAAAAACAAATTGCGAAAGAAAGAATTTATTAAAATGGTAGACTTACTGGCAAAGTAATTTGCAAAACTTTATATTTTCAGCCGAAGATCAAGAAGACTACGCAACGGCAGTGTCACAAGTGACAATCCTGATTGGCGCGGCGGCAGTCGTCGTTTTTGTTATCGCTTGTTCAGGTCTCGTTATACGGTATTAATTCACAGTTGTTTTATGCTACCCAGGTTTTGATATTTGTAATTTTCTTTAGATATTACGTCAACAAAACTCTTTTGGCAAATCGGTGGTGGGACATCAAACCCCAGGAATTGACTCCTTGTCAAAACGAAGAAATGCCACGCATAGAACACGATGAATCAACTACAAATCTCGATGCAGTGACGCTGGCCACAATCGGGACATTTCGCTCAGTAAGACGTAATTGACAGCAAAATGCAACAGCCGCTTTTTTTAAACCGTTTGGTTGCGCCTTAACCTGCATTTAACGAGTGTATTATTTTACCACTAGTACATACTATTCACCATACTTGAAGTACATATAATTATATTTATGTATATTGTATCATAGTACCGGTGCATACATAACTCCGATATGTGCTGGTGTACATGTTATACGAGATTAATTATAAGCACCAGCATAATTTTGTGTCAGGTGTTTTCTTCGGTCCATCACAACGACGTTCATTCAGCCTATTACAAAAATCGCCATGTTGCGACCAGAATCGTAAGGAAAAAACTGAGCATACACAACGAAGAACTCCTGGAACTGCGCGATGTCCGCGTACATCACCATGATAACTTACTGCGTCTTTATGGTGTCGTTATTGAACCTGGCCAGTACACCATCGTTCAAGAGTATTCCGCACGAGGCACTTTAGCGGATTTCTTGGTAAAGGATTCCTCAACCCAATCGTCTGACTGGGCGTTCAGATATTCATTACTTCATGACCTTTTTGAGGTACGACATACAATATTTAATTTGAAGTTAATTAATGGGAAAATAATTTAAGAGCCAAAAAATGTGAAATCTTTACATAGGCAGTGATATACATTCATAAACTCTTCGGATATCACGGTCGTTTGTCAAGCCTGAACTGCATGATCGATCGAACCTTTGTCCTTAAAGTTCGCGATTATGCACCGAAATTTCTACAAACACCCTTTGAGGAATTGGACCAGTGGGACCTGGTAAGTTAGGTATGCTTTTACAGTTTAGCCATTAACAGTATACAGCTCTACAAATTGGTTTTAAATACTGCATACGTTCTGCGACTCTAGAAAACGTGCTTTACTGGTGATTTTTTTAAAAAGTCACTGATTGCAGTTTTGGACAGCTCCAGAGATTTTGCGGCACAAAAAAGTAAATAAACTGGACCTTCAACGGGCTGACATCTACAGTATTGGGATAATACTTCAAGAGATTGCTATGGAGGGACCTCCGTATCCCAATACAGAAAATTCCGATTTTATACTCCCAGCTTCACGTAAAACAAAATCAAATTTGGAACGCCTCACATATCTTAGCATTTACATGAATACGCATTACTTAGAAATCATTAACTGGGTACGGAACGGCGTGGACCCGCTTTTCCGGCCGGTGGTACCGCCGGAAGCCACTTGTCCAAGTCGTTATCGGGCTATGATGGAGTCATGCTGGAGCGAGAATCCCATTGCCAGGCCTACTGTTCTTGAGTTAAAAGCTCGCCTAAGGCATATCCGGGGAAATGTGAAAGGGACATTGATAGATGACCTTTTTCAGCGAGTGCAGAGTCATGCTGATCAGCTGCAGAAAACTGTTGACGAGCGTACGCTACAGCTTCGTGAAGAGCAAAGCAAAATTCAGGGATTACTTTACGAATTACTTCCGCCGTAAGTATCTCATTAAGGGCATTGTATAATATAGATATAATAATCACAGGCTTAATTTTTAATATTAAGAATTTGCTTTCCCACCTTATCTGCTGTAGGGTATAAGAACTTCAAAGTACATAACTATGTAGGATGCCGCTTCGGTTAATTAATTTATCGTAGACGTTAACGCTATCATACACGTATATTTAAAATGCAAGTCAGAATCAATCAAAACACAAATTTATTTCGCTAGACTTACAACTGTTTGTCAACCACAGGTCTGTGGCTGATCGTCTAATAACAACTAGAAAGGTTGACCCTGAACCCTTTGAATGTGTTACAATATATTTTTCGGATATTGTGTCCTTCACAACTATTGCCGCAGAAAGCACACCGGATCAGGTACTTATCGTTACCTGAAAGCTGCTGCTGTCTCTGTGCAATTTTATTGAATCGTTCATTAACCCATTTACTTGTAATCAACAGGTTGTACATATGCTGAATCTCTTGTATCAGTTATTTGACAGCGTTATCGAAAATTACGACGCGTACAAGGTGGAAACAATTGGAGATGCCTATATGGTAAAATTGAATGGTCACTTAGATTATTTCTACGACATTCTTCCTTGGCATATCGGTAACGTAAATTATTATATCCATAAGGAGGCGTTCATTGCCTTTTAGGTAGTTAGTGGCCTACCAAATCGAAACGGAAATAAACATGCCACGATTTGCTCCCTGCTGGCACTCAATATCCTCCACGTATCACGGGAATTCCGAATACCTCACAGACAGTATGAGATGCTGGAGATTCGTATTGGAATACACTCTGGTGCGTGGTACCATTACCGTACATAATTCCCATTTGGCATCGCCATAGCTAATTAAGTATAATGTGCCCAGTACAACAATATTTTCACACGCAGGACCTTGCGTTGCCGGAGTAGTGGGAACAAAAATGCCAAGATATTGCCTGTAAGTACAGTACTTATAATCTTCGTTTGTACAATAGCAGTAACACCTGCACGCATGCTGCTATAAGCCTGCTTATTTTATCGTTATTCTGAGTTAGTATAGTAACATAGTTTGACTTTTATATTACTGTATTCGCTCGCACATCTTGAACCACAGAGTGTGTGTACGGGAAAAACACGCATTCAATATACACACTCTAACCGGGCAAAATGCACGACTACGAAATATTGCTCATTTGGTTTCACGATGAACAGTTCTTCTTGTGAATTGGTTTAATAAATCAAGACTTTTCATTTAAATGGCAATTCACTCTGGAAAAAAAAGGTTCTGTAGCTGAAAGCTCGAATTGTTCTGTGGTTCATCACCATCGAGAATGTTGACGCGGAACGTACCCTCCAGGGGCACCCCAAAAACCACAACAAATCAATTTGCAACTCGTGCTTAAGCCAAAGCTGTGTGTTAATGGATGCTTTCAGCATAAACATGATAAAAATTGTTAGAGCTCTAATTTTTTTCATTATTCAAGAAGTTCTACAGTCCAGATGTTGTAAGACATCAGAAATTTATCAAATCGCGAATCGCGCGTTTAATTGGCCCGGTTAGAGTGTGTATATTGAATGCGCGTTTTTCCCGTACACACACTCTGTGGTTCAAGATGTGCGAGCGAATACAGTAACAAAATTTTGTTTCGTAGTTTTGGTGATACTGTCAATACCGCTAGCAGGATGGAAAGCACGAGCGAAGGTAGAAATTAACCACCACTGAAGATGTTTTATCAGATGCCAAAAAGAATGATGAATTATGTAGCGGTATCAATCACTACAAATTTAATATTATTGCAGTTTATTTGTTTGGTTGTAGCCAACCGCATACAGCTCAGTCCCGCCACTTATGAGCTTATAAAATCGAAGAACATGTTTACGGTCATGTCACGTGGAGAAATAAACGTGAAAGTACGTAAAAATTACATTTCACTTTTTTGTGGGTTGAACATGTTTGCACTAATCAAAATGAATTGCCGGCGTAAGTGCAATTAAGCCCATACGGCAATAACTTAGCAAGTGTATCAACCATTCTGTAGTTCAGCAGCCTTAAAGAGTGTATATTGCAATTCAGGGAAAAGGTGCAATGGAAACCTACTGGTTGACAGGAGGACCCCTGGACCAGCCATTTCCTAAGCGCTCAAACACTATATCCAGTTCTTACTTCGTTAATACAATGCGGGGAACACTGCGCCGATCCCGTAAAGCGGAAGCCGGTAAAAGGTTATCCTTAGCGTCTATAAGTGATTTGTGATTCAGAGCTTATGTCCTTATTTGCCATTTATTTCTTTTGCTTACTCAATATCTTTCTCGCTTTCTCAATAGAACGAGTGCGTATTAGAAGCATTTCGATAAAACCATAACACGATGACTCTAATAGTCTTTTAAATGTTATAAATTTTATATCTGTAGTGCTATCGCATGTGCTCTGGTTGTTCTTGCCAATCATTAAAAACGTTTCATTTCTATCACACTCTTTTTGCGGAGTGCGGTTACGATTGTCTTTCACGTACACGATTAGTAACTGCAGATATGATCATATCTGCAATTACTGCACATTATTTAAATGATTCGCATGCTTTGATCGATCTTACAGCTAGCGGAGATAATGTTTTTGTTGTAGCTGTTTTTAGAAATAATGTTTTTAGAAATAAATAACATTTGTTTTTTGTAAAACTGTGCCGCAAAATACGAGTATCACTGGAACGAAAATCAGTGCATGTACATACAGAGATTACGTTAAAAACGTTAAAAATCGAATATAATTCATTTTAATTTCAAAACGTACTCGAAGATAAAAACTATTACAGTATTATTATTTTCACTTGTTATCTTATTCTTTCGTCGTCTTCATCCTGCATGTGCGTGTTTATACATAATCGTAGGTCACCTTGCCGTCGCAATTGTAAGTAAAGTTAGCTTGCCCTTATAAATAATACTGTAACCGACGCTAGAATCAGTGGACTGCAAATTTCTATTATTCGGGAAGCTTACTCAAAATATATCCATAGCACAGAGAATAAATATTTTGTAAGTGAGGCTTGACACGTCTGACTTCACAAGAAATATGAAGTTTTGTAAGAACATAAACGTTAACGTATAATGAATAGCTGCGGCAACTAACTGGAGCCAAGGTAAGAAAATAAACCTTCCAGCAGCAATAAAACTGCAAGTACAATCCATTTCTCAAATAACTGCAACAAAATTCATTTGTCTTCGTAGCAGTCCTTTTAATAATTTTATAATTCTTTGTTTCTTCGTTCTACGCTTGTGCAAGTATGTTTTATACGTAGCGTTCGTCATGAAGGCAAACAATTCTTATTGAATTTTTTTATTTTATCATGTTGATCAATGTCGTACAAAAATCTACAAAGTTCACCGACACAACACTGACTACGATTAAGTTCAAAACAAAACTGCAAAGAACAAAATCGCTGAAATATATTCAGTCGTAATTCAAAAGACACGAAACCAGCATTTCCGTATCATACATATTACGCTCGTAATTCCGATTAAAAACTAAGCTTTCACCTGATCAACATTTCGCAACAACAACACAGTTGACTTCGTCAAATCCTAACGGAGAAAAACAAAAATTCCAACAGCCAAACGAAAAATTCTGTACACAATTGACTTAGAACGGAATATCCACCGAAATTGGACGGAACTGAAATGGACGCGTTCTCCTACATTCCATATACCGGCTCCGCTTTCCAGTTTTTCAAATAGCCAGCTGTCGAGGATGCTGCCGAATTCATATAGGACTGCATTCCGGAAAATGCTGAATACTGGGAGAAATTTTGTGTGGAGAAGGAAGGCGCAACGGCTGCAAAGGATGTCGGCGTATACGTTGGCTGAGCGGACGAGTAGCTGGCCATGCCGGATGTGACCATGGACGCTGCAGCAGCGTTAATATGGGGATCCGGAGGAGTAAACAGCGACTGGGAGGTCAGGCCGGGAGGCGCTGGGGGCGGAATGAGACCGGTGGGGCCGGTCGGGTAGGAAGGGGGCCAACATGCCGCAGGTTGTGAGTGTTGTGTTTTGTAAGATTCCCGCTGAGCAATGTAGCAGTGAAGATGAGACATGAGGCGATTTTTTATCGGATCAGGATTAGGCATTTCCGGACCGGACAAGTTTTGCAGATACCGGCCGACCTCTCCGATACATTCCTGGAAACCGGCTGTATGGGGATCCATGGAATTGGGATCACAATTTATACCTAATCAAGACATAATTATGCATTACTGGCACAGAGCAAAACTTTTCGAACAAGTGCCTGCCTTCAAAGACATGGTATATAAAACTGCCCTTTACTGTTACGGTGACCTCTTAAATTTTTTTAAATTGACGCTTCTCTTGTCGTAGAAACTTTACTACTGCAGATATTTACTGGCGGCACGGTAGTTGCGACTGGTTTCTATGATTATATCTATACATAATACATGTATTATGATGTATACATATCTGATCTGTGCGTAGGTACGTATGTATGCAACTGTACCAGTTGGCTTATAAGCACATATCAGTCTATCCATATCAGTCTATCAACTGTCGACTACCAGTAATTCAAATTCAAAACAAATAAATAAAACAACTAAACATAATTTGGGTTCTGAAATCATTAAAATGCACAATTCACACATACTTATGCCAAACGATGCTAAATTGTTGGAAGCATATTTTGCAAATCTCTATTAATTTTGACGCGCGCGCGATTTATCTTCGTCACATCGTTTCATGCGTCCGGTAAGCCGGCCACTAGGCCACTATAGTCACAGGTGAGAAAGAACTTGTGTTATCTATTCTCTTCTGTAAAAAGAAAATTGACACCAGAGATAAGCTATCGATCAGGTTTCTTTTATTGCTTATAAAGCTGATCTTGTACTACGTCCGCTAAATCTGGGATAAGGCAAGTATCTCAATTGTTTTGAGCCTGATACTGTATGTGGTACAGTATGATTATAATACATATGCAGTATTCGTTACTGTCTGTAATCACGCATTCACCTCGTATGCGAATTACAATACTTCTATAAAACGACGAAACATCCACAAACCACGACTCTAAAGCTACGTAAAGGTTTAGAATGCTAATTAATCTTTCATTATAATTTCTACAAAAAAACTCAAATAATGTGCAGCAGCCTTGCGCTAATCGGAGCGCAGCTTCTAAAGCAGAAGCAATATTGATAACGTCAATAGATAACGGTGCAAAAACCAGGAAAGAGCTAGAGGAACATGCACTTATCACTACTATGTACGAATATTCAGCCGCAGTTTGCCATTATAAAATAATAATTATATCAATCTCGCAGCAGATATCCGTCGGTGATACAGATCATAACATACCAAATATTAACAACTTGTGCAACCTGAATGTCGGCTAATTTGTTATGAGTACATATGCTGATATGCACAACCATTTATCGAATATTAGAGGCCCTTATCCGTTCCAGCATCTGTTTGGCAAATACACAGAGCTTGATTGCTGAAACTGGCATTAAATCAGTGCGAGCGCTTGTTCTATCGCGGTATTTACGATTAATATGTATTCTACTACTAACTGACCATAAACTCGATATTTCTTTCGCTCAAAGATCGGCTATCATAACATGGCTGCTAGCTCTATGATGGCAATTGATTATAAGGACACTGACATGCAGCGGCAGCACTCGTACCGTGGGAACGGCATGAAGAAATGCATGTCACCACTTTACTCTAGACCATTCGCATTCCCCTCTACACACCAATAATCATCGGCGTCAGCGCTATTTCATTACCCTCTCTGGCTGCGGTATTATGTTATTACGCTCTTCGCACGCCTTTATTCTATCGCCGAGCTAATCGCTTTTTCAGTTCTCACACTCTCGCTGCTTTCTAAAATTTTATACTGGAGGATATTACCAAAATATGAAAATTACTCCTGATTTCCCTCTCCTGCTGACAATAAGCGCGTATTACTAACTTCGCCGTCGTCCCAGCTTACTGTTATCAACTAACAAATTAATCGTTTAGAGGGCGAAGCAGTTTGTTAAGTAAGTAGCCGAACTCCGGCATCAAATACGATCAAAATTATTAATTATATTACATTATATATTACATTATATTCAGAAAATGTTTAGTGACTATTGTGTTAATTTATTTCTTTCAGGGCGAACTTCTTTGATAAACGCAAGTGTTTTGAATGTTGCATAAATTAAATTGCTTCCTTGCTTACTGCAGATTCACAAAGCATCACTGCATCAGTAACTACCGTAGAAAGCCGCTATCTATTACAGAAAAAATCGAACACTAATAGACACTTAATCAATTACACAAAAGCGGTATTTTACTGCTGACAAAAGTTTGCAGGCACTGCTTGCAATTGTCCTGATGGTAACACTTGTTATAAGCGACGCTATCTACCGCCGTGGGAAAAGTACTCGAAGCCACCAAGTGCCACTTATCAAAACATATAGTTCGCTTTTGCCGCAGACAACGCAAGTTTTTTTCGAGCTGAACACATAGGCCGACAGGTAATGATGACAGACCAGATTGCACATGTCTTACCTTTGGTATGTATTGATTTCAAATGATCAACTGTCATCTGTAGTATTTCAGCCTTCTCGAGTTTAGTTGAACCCTGCAATCATGTACAACAGCTTATTAACCCAATTTAATGACGCGCTATCCGATGTCGAGGATACTGCCCAGCGGATCAGTAGTACGAAATCATATGGCCAAACCGCTTTTCACCTATTTGAGAAGTCTAGTACCGAAGAGATTACAAAGGTCATCACATGGTACCTGCTTTTCGAAAGCGGATGGAACAAGCCGGCGCAGCTCAGCTAGACTGTTGTTTATGCGATCGCGACGTTTTTTTTCGATGACCTATCAAAACCAATAATTTTATCACTCACACCAACCAACATGCCCATGTTCAAATTCCACATGCTTTAAAAGCTAAATACGAATACAAATGCGTCAAAGTAATAAGAAACTTTGAAAGTGTACCAAATGTTTTGATTACAATACGGCACCACAATTAAACTGTCTCAAACAAGTCGCAGCTAAGACATAGTGCATTTACAGTTATAATATTAAGTCAAAACATTATCGACACCGAGATGTGGAGTAATTAACTTTTTAAAGTGCTTTACTTTAGGTTACTGTGGTGGGCAAAAGATGAATGACAATTGCTAGCAACCATTATATAGCTACCTATTAATGACCATGTTACAATTAATATTTCTGTGCACCAGCAGATTACAAAATGTTGTAACTACTATTCCTACCAGAGCCAGTAGCTCTACGTATTTCAAGTCGTGGAAATCGCGTTGAATATTGCGGTAGGTTCTTATTACCATGAGCGCTGATAAGAATGTTCGGTAACTATTAAAATGTGTACTGACCCCACGTCGCTTTTTCCGGCTGTTAACATGACAGCTTTCCGCTATACTATCCATGCTTTCCGATGAAGGACTGTCCATCCTGTTGGGCAAACAGCAAAACATTAGAAAGTGTGGAGGACGGAAACAGGCAATCGGCTGTCGTCGCGTGTGACAACACGCGACCGTCTTCCCAGAGATGCACGCGCCAATCAAGTTATGCACACCGCATGCACTCCACGCGGGCTAACATCATGCGCTTTAATAAATGACGACTTTTAATTTACCTTGTTCTCCGCAGTGGACTATCCTGTTCACTGTTTTGGGATGAGGAATCCCTGCGTGATTCCCGAATGAGCAGCTCACCCATATTACTTCGCGGAGTGGCCGGGGATGGGCCGGGGCGGAGCAATGGTGCATTAGCTATCGGGTGTTCGAGAAATCTGGAGGATTTGATTAAATCTCCTCGGGATAAGTAATCCACATTGGTACAATATAAAGGGGATAGCATAGTTATTCTCGGTATATGAATACGTGCGGCAAAAACGGGGAAACGACTGCAGATGAAACGGAACGAGGCAGGCAGACGTTCGGTGCGACGGCTGACGGTTAACTAAATGACCAAAAGCACAGTTGACACATGCACACACCAGCACACGAGCTCACACTATCCTACACACGACCCATCAAACAAGTCAGAGCCGGGCGACTGCAAAAGCCTGTGTGGCACACCGCGGCACAATGCGCTTGCGCCGCTTGTGGTAGGAAGGGCTCTTTCACGGACAGTCATCGTGCGGTATGAATGCGCAAGGCGCCGGTTGGCCAATGGCGAATAACCGATTCCGGCTACGCTGCACCGGTTATTACGCCTACAGCTACAAAGTTACAGTCGGATGCACTGGCGTCCTTGGATAAACTTGTTAAAATTTTCCTTGTCGGCTACGATTTATTGATCCTTCATTAATCACTAATTAGCGAAGCTGATTAAACGGATCAAGAACAATTTGATATGTTCTGTGAAATGTGTAATGACCAGCTGTATTGTTAATTTAATTAAATCCGGCAACAAGTAGCGAGATGGGAGCCAAACATTTCTTTCCGTTTTAAATGCGACAACAAGCTTTTCGCGACACAGGAACGTTCAGTAGAAACGAAAACAGATACTAAAAAGGCAAAATGAATTTACTCATTTAATCAAATTCAGAAGTTGGAATTAAGTTGAAGCCGTGTTTTATAATTCCAAATAACATCGCTCCGCAATTTAGGTTACTGCTGCATTTAAGCTGCAGTCGTCTTAAAGCTTAACTGACCATCTTTAAAAGTTTTGTCGGCTCGTTTGCAAATGCATGTTTGATAAACGATGAATTCAGCTTATTGCCGTATTTGTATGTGAATGCTGCATAGCTGTTCTGCGCGTTCTGTACTGAACAAAAGAAACGAAACGCGCGCGTGTCTGACCGCTGGTCAGCTAAGCTGCTTTCTATGCTTAAAGAATATTTCTAACCTTTTCAGTACGCTAATATTGCCGCACACGTTTAATATGCCCCTCTTTAACGCCGCTGTTGTAATGCAGCCCCGCCGAAAAGCGGGAAAGAAGCAAGCACCTTGCGGAATCCGCATTAGGTTTAATAAAAGATCTTGTGGTTAGTTCAATTCAGGACACCGTCAGATCAAATCAGGACACGATGGAACATTATTATGCGGCTATTAAAGCAACTAAGGTCAGTCACGTAGACGATTGTACAAATAATTAAGTGAAACAACTGAAGCGAATATTACAGTCATGGTAAGTTTATACTACGGTACGGTACCTAGCTATAGTATTCTATGTAAGGTACGCAGTATTCTATGTAGGTATGCTCGTATGTTGTAAATAAGGGCTTTAACAAAAAATGCGTTAAAGATGCTTTAACAAATTTAACAATTAGATAATAACTATAAACATTTTGCGATTCCTAATACCTGAGGCATTTCATGCCAAGTTCAGTTAATAAAACCTTGCATTATAATGAATATAGTTTTACTATCTGTAAATCTGTACTACGTTTATTAATTCCAACCATTATAAATTTCTGAGTGTGTCGTCAACGTTTTGTCGCACTTATTATTAAGGGAGATATTGCTTCTTTTATTTTTTGCACGATGACGATCGCCTGTGAACATTTAAACAAAATTAAATCGACATAAAATTTCAAAACGGTAAGAAATTCACATTGAAACATTTACAGTTTAGATAATAATTTTACTCAAAAACAAATTATAATTTACGAAAATAAATATGTTCTCTCGCAAAACGTGGGAAATTACTCCGATACAAATGGAGCATTATTTACTTTTATGTCAGGATGACGTGATCTTTTAGTGAAGCATGTAATTCAGGCGTATTGATTGGACACACGGCCCGCACACGCGGGTCATGAGAATGTATCCTCGAATGACACTTGATCCTATCGTCATGGCTCAGCCACTGATTCCTACACAATCGTATTCACGTCGCTTTTCGGTCTTGTGAACAGCGGGGAGTTTAATTAGCCATGGAGATACTGTGGGAAAATGACATGAATACGCTAAGTACGCTACAGGCCACAAGTTGCTCGTCTTCTTTTCGAAAAATCTATCGAATAACGCTTTCGAGTCGTTTCGACTGCGCATACTTCAACTGATTTTCACTTGTTAACAGCACCCTATTCTTAGAAACCGTCAACAACGAAGATTGGTGAACTTTTTTTGCATAAAAAGCGCGAGCAGCCTCTAGGTTTATACTTTATAGTATATGTTTGCCTGTTTTTTAGAAGTTTTGATAAATATAAACACACGATTCATTCGAATTATCAGTACATTTAGAATAATGCTTTGTGTTTTGTAGCACTGTTTATTTTTTGTGTATTATTAGAAGCACCCAACATAAAACCTAAAACTTTGGAAGACGTAGCTAACGCATTAAAGAAATTTGAAATGACTTGAAAGAGTAATCTAACTTTTAATAAAGTGAACCTTTATCTTCTGGTTTTGGACAGGACGTGTACTCTGAGCAAAATCATAAAAAAATACGGAAACAAAAACAATTATTGCTAATTGTGCAGACAGTTTTACGTAAGTAGTAATACAAAGAATTATTTGTTATGCGCTCCATTATGCAAAAAAATCGCTCGAGTGGGCTAGAAATTGCACTGAAGGAAAACACCGCTGACAAAGGGACCAATATTAGCCGTTATTGTACGTGAGAAGCGTTTACGGCGCAATGTCAATATGCTCGACTCATAATGTTTGTTTGATAAGTAAAGAGAGCGGCACAAAAGAATGCAGACAAGCCATGTACGTTCCCAGGACCGGAGATACAATTTTACGCCTTAAAATACACACCGGCTATATGCTTTAGATGTTTGATTTTTTTCTTTTTAGCCGCGCCGCGCACGCTTTAGCGTTGCATATTAAACATCGTTCAAGCTGAGGTTGCACTTGAAGCCCCGACACATTCGCTGCATTTTATTTGTTAGCCATCGCGCCGCTGTAGCAATAATATTTCATGTTACGACAACGATAACACGAACCATAACAAAGTGGTTCCCATGTACTTGCTGCAGTTTTGTGGCTGACCACCCGCTCGTTAAACTGTAAAAGCATCAAACCTGCCGGCGGCAACATGCCGGCAGACTGCTTCTTCAGTAATTTGATTCCACATAAGGATATATCGAAACTAGTTACTTGTAGTTCTTTGTGGTTTATGGTTTATAACATCGACGACAGATTTGCTCCACTGTTCTTTATGCGTAAAATAATAAAATTACTAAAAGAATTTGTGGACCAACTTTATGTAAAGTAAAGCAGGAATAATTCCAAGTTAAAGCATGTCCAAATTAAAGTAAAGCAGAAATAATTCCACCAATAATCTTAGAACAATAATAATATAAGGTTTCAAGATACTTGTTAGTTGTCCGGCTGGCTTCCTCGAAGAAGAATTTGTTTCTGCTTGTTGTGCAAAACTTTTACGAAATGTTTACAGTTAAGTTGCGGCTAATTTTCAATCATGTCAAGGTTAGAATAATACCTAATATAATTATAATGTGTTGGAAATTATACTGTTATTTTATATACAGTGTCTCCGATCGTTCATTTAGTGCAGACTTAAACTCGTTTTTAAACATAAACAAAACAATACTGTACGTATGTTCTCAGGTGTCAATCTAGAATATTTAGCCCTTCCGCACGGACACGATAACAAAGCTTTCAAATTAAGCCCTAAACGGTGCACTATAATCTCGAAACAATATGCAGCATTCTCTCGTTTCCCCAGGATCAGTTTTCTGAATGTCCAATTAAAAATGGAAATAGTTCAATGATGAGCTGTGTACATCTACTGGCCAGATGGTACAGCGACAAGAATAAAATACAGCCGTATGCACTTTTTGCCTGCAGAACTTAATTAAACATCCTCCTGATGGATAAAAAGGCGACAATAGAAATGAAGCGGATTTCGGTCTTTGTTGAAATATTTACTCAGCTTTAATTTGAATACTATTTAGCAAATTTAAATATAGCTGCAATGGCTCGTCGAGTCGCATATCAGTGAAAATCAAACACAATCAATTTCAAATTCCTAATACTAGTAACTTAAAGCTTTGAGCGTTAATCATATCGCACCTATGGAGTACGTATAGAAGTACTTCAACTTTATACAATGTTACGGCGTAAACCAATTCCCACGACTGCTGATCACTGTACCATCAGTTGTCGTTTAGTTGGTAATTATTGCACCATGGTACCATGATGCAAAACCTATAAATCGATAGTACGAGCATTAAAAATTTCTAACTATAAGTTTCTGGCCGTATTCTACTGGAGTTCAAACGACTGAGTGCCTATTGCATTACTGCACCGTTTGTGCTGGCAGCATGGTAACGGATTAAGCGGAATAGCATCAACGAGTTTATGAAAATCAAAAACTTGTCGTAGTTGCATAACTAAAAAATTAAAAAACTCGATCTTAGTTAAAAGCTTGGACTTAGCTTAGAACTTAGCAGAACTTAGTTAGCTTCGAGCCCCAAAATTATTTTAAATGTATTCAAACATGTAGATGTCATAGTAACCGTACTGCATAGTTAAAATTAATAGTGGGCCACTTTCTATGATTGATGATTAATAATTCCGACGATGCAAACGAAAAAAATATAAAATTCTACTTGTACGCTATGGTAGGGATGTTCAAAATTAGGGTAAGCTTTCTGGAATGAGAATAATACTGTAATACGGTTCGGTTAAAATAGATGGAGAAGAGGAAGGAGGCGGATGGAAACGATGATTATGGAGGATACATCACTCAGCAGCAATTTTGGATGCGACCTTTAGTGATGCAAGCTTTTCGTATCGCTAGTCAGGATGGAACGGATAACTGGAAACTGTCACTGGTTGGTTGCAGTCTGATTACTTGGAAGAACTGCATTTCTATGCTCTGCGTAATAATGCTTGGTTGTTTCACAGTACGAAAACTTTCAAAAAAGTTTAAAGGCCACGTGCCTATCAGGTTCAAAGGTTACTGTAGGAGTAACCGGAAGCCAAAATCACCCAACGATTTCCCTTCAGTGGACTACGAAACTGCGCAGCGACGCCCCTGTAAGTTTCCCAACACTGCATTGCCGGTTTTGTATGATCCTGCATGCTTACGTTAAATTCTGAAGGCAGTTGCGCAACTTGGGAATCACCGCGCGAATATTACCATGTTCCTTTTCCAACGGATTTTCGATGGCTGAATCAAGAGTTCTAATCTCCAAATGCTATCGTTTAATGATTCGCTTTCTAAGGGCATACGATCTTTACGATCCGGAGAGCAAACTAAATCCGTTTGATCAAGGCGCTTGGGACAAAATGATTTGGTAAGTAAGTGATTCCAGGTGACGTTATTCAGGAATGTTCTATTGGCTCGGATTGTTTTCGTTGTGAAAAATAACAGCTAATTTAAATTTTAAACCGTCAAAGCTACAAGAATATTGTTATCACTTTTATGTACTCGTATATTATATCTTTGTTATTGTTGTTGCTGCGTAGGCAATACTGGACGTACATCCAATTCAGCACCGCAAAGGAGCAAACGAACTCTGCTTGTTTTGATTCAATTTACACAAACGCTTCATTGCCACCTGTGCCGTTGTTTTTTTCTAATGACACCGTTCTGATCTCTTCGTTCCAGAACGGCAACCATGAGTCGGAAGATAGTATTCCCGGGCCAAACCGAAATGTGGCCAGAGATTTAATCATGAAATACTTCGTCCGTAATCCACCGGTTTTAAAATCAGTCCTTGATAAAAATTCAGCTGACCGAGAAAAAAACTATTTTAAAGAACTCCACAAAGCACGAATGCAACCTGGTCTCCATTCGCAAAGCCTCCACGAGATTTGTGTTAAAGACACAGGACTTCCCGATTTATACGCCTGTATTCGAGAACGAGTAACCGCAAGTTGCTTACAACAGACTGAGCAGCGCCTTCATGAGATTAATACCCAAACATTCAAGCTAAAACAAAGGTCAACTTGGTCGCGTTCAAATATAAAAACCTTAACCTTTAATGCTAAAAGCGTGCATGTTGCAGCCTAGTATCGTTAACAGGGGTTGTGATAATTATCCCCATTCGAATGAGAAAACCAACAATACTCAATCCAGTGCGCCCGCAGTGCATGCAAAACCAAAATCTGCGCCTCTGTTAGCCCAGACCAATCCCTTGAGCACTAATTCTGCCGTCAGTGTGCAGAAAACACCGGCCGCAAAATCCATCATAGAAAACGAGACAAAACAAGCTACCGACGAAAATTATTCCGAAAGCGCCCAAGAGGACATGGACCCGGAACTGGATGAAGATTTTGGTACAGAAAGCAGCGATCCAAAATCTTTTCCATGGAATACGAAAACAGCCCGCGTAGCAAATGCAAAAACTGGCACTGCTGCGAAGGGGAAAAAGTCGGTCGTGACGCAACAGTTGGACAAAGCTTCCCAAAAAGTAGCGTATTTGCTCTAAGCTAGCTGTTTTGCAGTATATGTTTTCCAGATTATCGCAATAACGGCTAAACCATCGTGTTTTGTTATTTACCAGTTTTAGCTCAAATATTTTTTATTCGACAGGAAAACACCAAGCAAACCCCTGTAAAATCTCCGAACATCGTCCTAACTCCGGTGCCGACACCAGCATTAGCTACGCGCAAAGAAGCGTTGCAAGTTGAAGAACGTTGTCATGATACTCTGTCGGGATTTTCCATGCTGAATTTTTTATCAATGGCACTATTACATGCAGCAGCCGGGATGAGTCAACTGGACGTGTACAAGGTAGTCGCTACGATGATGCAAGATAAAAGTTCCGCTTTGTACATGGACAGTGGACGGTGGATGCGACCGAATTGACTAAGTCATACTTCCGTAGAATGCCGCGAGTTTTGATTCCTTGTGTTCACGGTCTGTACGATTTGGCGGGGAATTCGTTATTGCGGGCTATATACGTTATGCCTCCGGAAAACATGTCCTTTAAAGACGTTAGTAGGAAGAAGTGCATGGAAGGTTTATTCGTATTTTTTTATTATGCATATTCCATTATTATACATATTTCAGTATGAGTTAATTTTACGGCACTCCTAATCACATCTTGACCTTTCCAGTTTTGTAGTGGTACAAACTTGAACTACAGATGGCGCTTTACAAGATTATTGACGCTGTACCGCTGGTTGGAGGTTCACAAAGTCTGCATGTACGGTAACGAACGACAGTTGACTGTAATACGTGCGCCAGTATTACTTCGTGAACCCTGGACACTTTTGAATGATTTAGGAAACAATGAGTGAATGGTCAAAATGTGGGACCTTTCGCGCACGGGTAGAATCTATCCGCGTTGCGCTGGAAGCCATTGTGACAACATTAAGGAGCAGCAAAATCGATTTTCGATTAGGTGTTCATTTTGTGCTTAAGGTTAATGCGGAACTGCAGTTCCAAAATTATATTAGAAGTAGCGGTATGCGTAAACGTAATCTGACAAAACTGTTGCAGCATTGCCGTAAATCCGACAGCCAGGATGTTGTATGCAAGAAAGCCCCTTCTGAAAGTTTAGATGACTTGCTAAAGTCCTTTCCGGAAGTAGAAATATTAATTGATCCGTGGAGTTTCCAGACAGTAAGCACCTGGTATTTTCAACTCCTTTCATCACATTCAAAAGTTCAAAACAAAATTCCTTAATCATGCTTTGAATTTTTACAGCCGTATGTCCATTAACTGGGAATTATTGAAATAAGTCCCAATTTAACAGTTGATCAGCTAATCAGAATAAATAGTAGATCAAACGTTTTGCTTTATATAATTGTCAAAGTTCCGACATTGAGAAAATGTTATTCCCGTGCGGGTTTGGTAGCTTGCGATTAGAAAATAATTTTGATAAAAGAAACACGCCAATGTAAAGTTCCTTAAACAGGACGATGTTGAAACCTGCGAGCTGCTTGGTGTACTGGTCAAAGACAATATCAACGTATCTCGTCAAGTTTTTCGAAGTTCCCAGGACAGGGGTGATGTAACCCGTTCTATGGGGCGCCACGTTGATGTTGGTCCGAAAACGTTAGTCAGTCAAATTTTTGCACAAATCAGGGAAGCCAAAGGTACGTAACGTAATACCAATTTCTGTCTTGTTCGCGATTTGAAGGTAAACTGTGGCTTATATGTAATTTGTTAAGTAATTTTTATGGGGCACCAATATTACTGTAGATCACGCGAATGCAATCCTTGTGAGCTTTACCAACAGCCTTCAATGGGAAACCAACGCGGAGCTTTTCCATTATGAATTAGCATTTGGGTTGCAACTTGATAATTTTGTTGCTTCCGGATTTCATACCGTGCATCAGCGTATATTGCTGGAAAAGATTATTAAATGCGAAGAAGCCTGCAATTTATAAATCACAAAGAAATCACGAGCCCAAATTTATCATCAGTACTCGTAGGCTAAGAAGGTGCATTATGGTATAGCAAAAACACACACTTTTATATTGAAGAATTCCCCGCAGGCCGCAGTTATAGTAAACCGAAAGTATTTGTACAATAATCTATAAAACCCAACTATCAAAAGGCCCATATCCGCTTTCCATCCAATTTTCAACGCGGTCCAAATAACACCGACCATCTTTATTATGAATGATGGCTACATTGCAATCGGGATACAACAGACATAGGGTCTTGCATATGTCGGCGTTCGCACGCCCTTCCACAAGGTTCCAATCGTCGCACGGTATACCCGTCTCGCAGCTCGGACCGCGCTTTCCCGGATGCGAATTTGGTTGATGCTGGAAACTCCGAAAAGGTCGATCCGTTAGCAACTTCCAGTCACTGGACTGTACCACTTCATAACTGCCGTAACCTTTGAAGCAACATTTTGTCGGTGTGTCCGTTAAAGCATACGCCACTAGTCGGCAATTTAAAGTGTTCAAACAGTTCATCCAACAGGCAGACTCATTTATGTTGGCATCATCTGCGCATCCCAGATCGTTTCCTTTGAAGTACCAACCGGATATTTCGATTAGACGCGTGCCACTCGCATCTCTGGATATCATAATACTTGCAGAATATGCGTTTTATAGTACATACAATCAACTGCTGGACTGCAACTGCTTCTTGCAATGATGCAAATGAATAACCCATATTTTTGCTTCGCGGTATTGTACTGTGAATGTTGCTATAATTCTAGTAGGTATCATATCTACATAAAAGTGCAAGAAGTGCTGCTGTTGTTTCGTCTGCTTTCGAATGTATGATATTCAGGCACTGCTACAAGTATACTTTTATAAATATTTTACAATTAAAGCATGTATTTTACATGCTGTGTAAATACAATGTAGGTAGTTATCTTTAAAATAATCGGTATATATTAACCCGTTTTGCAATCTACAAAAAATCCGCTTTTACCGCGATAATTTGCTGTACGACGATCCAAATACGAAGCATAGAGCACCAAAATGGATAATAGCAGCGTGATTTCCAGCTCCAGAAAGCAGCATCGTTCACTCAATATATTTCAATCCCGTTGTACTTAACTTGAAATTGTTAAACGCGTAAGCTACACAATTCAATAAAATAATAACAATTCAATAATTCAATTCAATTCTACACAATTCAATAATTCAATAAAATTATATTCGACGACCGTAAATCGATGGGTAGCTGAAAAGTCTATAAGACTCCAAATTATAGACTTCTTATCGTAAAACGGCTTTTCTAACTTAACTGCTTTTGCAGAAATAGACTAATTAACGTAGCGTGCCACAGCAGAAGAGCTAAAGAATGCGTACTACAGTGGATAACTTTTACTAGTAATTATCAGAATCACTTACACTTACGTTATCAGCTCTTATCGCTCTCATATACTACTTATGTTCTTGCGATACACCGGTTAATACGAGCATGAGTTTGATGGAACTGGATCAAACAATACTCGTACGTCGCATCTGGTTTGCAACTTTACAATGCATTCTGCAAATAAATTGCAGATCTAGAGTCCACAACTGCACTTCCAACATTGTTGTGCAAGTGAAATACGAATATAGATATTAATAATTTAGAGACGCAATCGTAGTTTTGCAAATTTTGTACTTGTACAGTTACAACCGTAGGGACCATACTTATCCAACTTAACGTACAGCCATCGTAATAATTATTATAGATGCATTAACACCACCAGTGACCTTTTCCAGATTTTGGAGCAGAATGTTAAACTAGCCTCTTATAGAGTAACTGATTTTATTAGTGTTCGTTCGTTTACTCCATACAGCTGTTATAAGCAGTAATCGCTCCTGGGAAGCTGCCAAATAAAAACGATTGTACCACTTGTATAAACAAAATTGCTTAATACTTCATGTGCAGACAAACCTTGAGCTTGAAATCAATTAATTGTAAGGCTAAATGTAAAACCCATAAGCAGGCCTTAATTGTTGGCTGTACTGGGCACTGGGAAAGTAGTGTCCGCATTAATAATTTCGATCATATTACTAGAGTACTTAAGCTTGTCATAATATATTTACAAGCATTCACATGCAATGGCTAGCTGATGAAGCGAAAAAAAAGCACATATAGCATACCATAAAACTTGCATTACAACCAGTAACGACATAATTTTATATACAGAATCCAATTACATATTTAGCTAATAAAGTCACTTAGAGATCGTCTTTGTGAACCCGGAGCCACCTAAAGAGCTCCAGCCTTCCAAAATCAGTTAGAACGTAAGTACTTTATTTTCCAACTCGTGGATTTCGAGCCCGCCACGTTTGCACTGACAGTGGCATGAACAGTCCGTTAAGATTGGAATGCGCAATTGCAATCGGCTTCTCAAAACTGTCGCTTGACGTTGGAGGCATGAACGGTAACAACAGCGATGGTAGCTGGCTGTTAATGCTGTAAGTTTTCGCGGCAAAATCCCCATTATAATTCTTGATAATTTCCTGTATTGGTCGGGTCACTGGACGATAGCGTGGCAGGGACAGCGGCGATCGTCCATCCCCTTGTGCACTAAACACGTAGACCATGGGTCCGACAGGATTGGAACCGTTGGTGACCTTTCGATCCGCATGATCGCCATCCGCTGGTGGCAGTAGGTTCAAGACATTGGCGAAATCTAAGACAGCCTTCATTCGCCCGGGGATCACCTGTTTTCGCGGCTGCGAACCGATATCTCCTGTTGTCGCAGTGTCAGAAGATGTTGTCGTGTTGAAAACGTCTAACGGTTTGGACAGCGCCCCATCGGAATTAGCCGGGCCGGTATTCATAAAAAACGCACTTCCGAATGCCGAACATTCTTGTGTCAGGACGAGGGCAGAAGAAAAAACAAATATAATTCCCAGTGGCGATGACGACACAAAACTCATACTCACTGTGTCTGGTAAAAGATCGTCTCTATGAAAAGTTCGCGCTGAACGCGTGCAAACTTTGTTACTTTGACTTAATGTATTCCCACGATAAACGCAATAATGGCTTTCAATACGATGAAGTACGTAATTATTTGCGGCACAAACTGGCGAAAGAATCCAGGAATTCCACTACTTAATATATTTGCTGAAGTAATGCAATATCCGTAAAGAGGGTTGAATTCGAAAATTTAATCAAGAGCGTGATGCTCAAAGTCGATAATATTCCTCAGAAGTAACAGATATGCTGATTAGTTTTGGATTATGGCTAATTCGATTTTTGGAAAATCGTCTTGCATTACCAATTTGAAGCTATATAAAGGTTTGCTATTAGTCCATTAACGTCATTGGCAATATATTGCCTATATTTGTTCCTGAAACTGCAATAACAGTACCTCAGCATATCAGCTCGACGAGCGTCATTATTGTAACAAAAACATATTAACCTACTGCGACGGATTAGTAGAGACATCGATTAACAATGTTTCCTTGGGTATTATTCCACTTTTCACAGCAGGTTCCAAAATAATTACCAGGCGAATGGAATGGATCACAACCTGCCGTTTCCGGTATACCACCGGAATTATTTTCAGTTTAATTAATGCTTTTCGCCCAATAGCTGAAATATTCTTTGAGGGCCTTACTATTAAATTACAGTACTGATTGACGAACGCCTAATCCAAATCATGCCTAAGTTTCCTACAGTTACCCAGTTTCTATTAATTGTGCGCTTTCTCAATTTTACGACAGACCGAGATTGCTACGCTCATTATAACCGAATAAATAAAATTAATTACAGTATTTTCATATGATAATAATGCTGAAAATTAGTAGCTTTATGTGCCGGTATTTATGTACTGATAATAAAAGTATTTAAGTACCCGAGAAAGATACTAGTACGAATTCATTTGGCAATACGTTTATAGTGGTACTCGTATATCAAGCACGTACGAGTACAAAAATATGCCACACCCTCGGATTTAGCGAAACGTTTCAGTTCAAAACCTACCGTAGAGTAGCTAACAATAAAACCAATTTATTCCGTAAGAGTAGGGGATAAATTTTAATAATGGCAAGCAGTACAGCAAATTACAATAATTTTTATCAAAATTTTGTTCATTTATTACAGTGGGTACTTATAGTGGGTACATTGTTTCGGTTCCTATCTCTATGACGATGACAAAAATTTAATGTACTGTACTTACTATTACTCTGTATATTATCGTTACGGTAATAATTTTATGTTGCCGCTGTTGGGGTGACTAAATATTTAGTAACTAACTAACTAATGGAATTTTCAGTACGTAATTAGCGGTATACAGTACACCTATCCTGTGGGCTATTACTTTCATATCACAAAATATGGCTCTTGTGGAGGTACGGTAAAAGTTAAGCTAGCAAAATATGTTAGTAGGTGCTAATTTGCATTTAACATTGAATCTCGAATCCCAGATTAACTTGATTCCAGCTTGTGACAACACTTTCTACAATAAGAGACAGGACACCAGTGCAATTCAGGATGTTGCGCTCAACCCTCAGATTTAAAACTCCATACTGAAGGGCTTGCGCAGCATGGCGGCGACTAAGGGCAGCTTTTATCGCGAAGATCAAGGGAACCTCGATCATCAGGCAGAAGCCGTTCGCAAGTATACCAAACCAGAAAGGCATTCGACGACCCAGGAAGCCAATCTAAATTTAGGAGCGCACAGAGCTCGGATGAAATATTTGGAGGATGTGCTACCGGGAGGCAGAGAACCCAGTTACGTAGAGCGGCCACAAGTTCACGTGGGTAACTGGTGGTATCGATGCTGTGAAGAAGTTCCGGGTTTCGTCAATTCATTGGTCAGTTGCCAGCTATCGCATATCTATGCGCCTATAGCATTCTTCTACCTGTTTATTTACTTAAAGCAAATATAATTTTTTTTGTTTATATATTTTGCGCAGTTTGTCATACCGATAACAAACTGTTCGGTTAAGAGTCCTATTTGTAACCGCTTCGCAAACAATTGCTTCAGTAACTCTGCGGATATATTTAATACCTTTTTAGTTAGTTTATTTCGATCAATTGGTCGAACTTACAGTTTATTTTATTCCTGAAATAAATTTTGCTAAAAATTTAGGTTTGGTTTTGTATACATGTTTACAGTAATATGGGTACCTAGTTATAAAGTACAGTACTGTACCATACATGCGAGAGCAGTAACATGACAAGAAAATTTTGCCGAACATACAATCCTTATACTAAGCCAAACCCTTTTCAGGGACGCAGGTTGCCAGATACTCTTACGAAGTGCAGTGAATATAAGGAAGAATTTTCGGAATATTCACGATTCTTTAAAAACTATGCACCAACCGACATTCGTGTGCCAGTGACTAAATCAGCAACAGAAAGTGTTCCATTCCTTGTGACCTTTAAGCACCGATTTGCTGGACCATCGGTCAACCACTACATGAGCATATACAGTCGAGATTTTGCATTACCTCCACCTTTCCAACCTCCCTACATGTCCGGATTATGCGATAAAAAGCGCAGAAAATGGTTTCAAGATGTGCTGGACAAAGGGACACATTTCTGTTCGACCTACCAGGAGAATTACGATCCGGACATTTACGAGCAACAAACAATGCCGTTACGAACAGCTTATCACAACATCAGCAGGGAAAATGAAATGGACCAGACATTGCCAGATACTGCACGTGCTTTCCAACGAACGGAAAACCATTCTGTTCCTTCACAGATATCCCATAATTCGGCAATGCTGTCAGAGACTAGCCCAAATAATGCTGAAAGAAAATTCATCCCAACCATAAACGACGTCGACGACCTTAAGCATTCAGCCCATAAACATGCACTTGCTGCGACTCGTGTTTGACTAAAACTAAAAGTGACTTGATCATGTACAAATAATAATCGTAACAATTTCTAATATCTGGTTTGTGTTTCCTCTAACAGTGGTATGTTTGAGCTGGCACAAGAACGATTTCCAAATTAATCCCAGAACGATTTCCCAATTTTTTCTATTGCGCATGGACGTCTGCGCATAATTTCCTAAGTAAGCACGCTACGCATCAAAATGAAGATCATGCGGCGAAGTGTGTCTACAGAGGCACAAGAATTAGCATCTGCGTGTCTAGCGTTTGCACAATCAGTTTTGGGAATAAACATAATATATATCCACAAATTGTGTGTGTGTGTATTTCCATATGTTGCGGTTAATGTGCTTCCATATGTTTTTACCAAGCACGTCTCGAAACGCCAGCCTTCCGGTTAGAGCCCAAACGGGCCACAGGAAGTGGCTTCCGGTGGAATGATTTCGACACACTGCCCGTTCCCGGAGCGGTTGCCTGTGCGACTGATCTCACAAGCAGGCTATGGGTCTGTACAGTCGGTACACGCTATGGAGTATGGACGATCAATTTCTGAAGTACAAAATTTTATTACGGTTTTTGAATTTTCCTGTTGTGCACACATTATTAGTGATCTTCTGTCCAAAAAAAACTTACTTTGTGCATTTCCGAATTGATTTGTATTTCATGCTGACGGAAACAGTTTCAACTTCTGATGAGTTCGCAATGAACTGGAGAAATACTGATGCCGTTCGTAATTTCATTAAACAGTTTCCTTACAATATCAATTATATGGGACTCAACACTCAGAAGAGCTTCCCTCCAGTGATTATCATTTGTGTTGGATGTTTGAGGGAGAATAACAGCAAGCCCCTTCACCACGGTAAGCTTCCGAACGGAAGATTCACCACTGTTTAGTTCTAACTGTTTAGCGTTGTGGCTAAATTGCCCTGTTAAAGCTGCCTACGTTATGACATACTTTATGGGTATATGATAAATCACCATATCTATGTGACCGTATGTATATCTGTCTTTTGTACTTCCTCAGGTTGAGATCGCTGATGGCATTGTAGCGGTTTTGGTTAAGGAAGCATCTAGATAAGGGAATTCATTGATTGTTTTCGAGGTTCCTGAACAACCTGCATTGGCCGCTGAGATACTGCCAATCACTGCTCTCTTGTGCCAGGCAAACAATGTTTTGGCTGGCAGTGTTTTTTCCGTCACTACACTCTTAATGGTATTACTACGCTGACTACACACGCTAAGGATGGATTATAACAAATAAGGTACTGCGCCAAAAGCTGCTGAGCGTAATAACTTTGCTGCGTATGAATATATTGCCAGTAGAGCAAGAATCGAAGAAGACGAGAACATCAAGCCCCATATTTTTCCGTGCTGCGCTCAGCAGTTTGACTCAGCAGTTTGTGCGCATATTGACAGTATCCAAACAGTAGTCGGTCGGGGTATTTGTAACCGGTTTTCTGCCGACACAGCACCGAGTCAGCACGTTCATTGTACCTTTGGGTTGGTGCGAGTGAAGTGAGAGAAGCCCTTGCAGACGTTTTGCTGGTGCTGACCGTTTCTGCTGTTTTGTAGCTGGAGGTGGCGGAACTGATGAGTGCATTTGGACAGCCCCGATCACTGTTGAGCCCATATCGCTTCTCCGAATGATCACTCTCAACACGCTGATGATATGCAGTGCAGTATTGTTGGGCTGCGTTGATTTCGCCCCCGAGGGATTGTTTTTCGGTGAGTTGGTTCTGGTTTTGGCGATGGCAGTAATTAAAACGCCTTTCCGCTTGCATTATGAGACAGAGGTTTGAGGCCGACAGCACTGGTGATGCTTGTGTTTTTGCAGAACACCGTTCGTCAATGCTTAAATGAACCTGGCTTCCGGGCACAAAAGCGATTGATGCTGTAAATGATTTTTGCCTACTGGTGCTCCAAAGGCTTGCTTTTGCAGCAAAACTAAACTGATAAGGTACGTGCATGCCGTTTCCCTGTGTCGTATGTGACAAGGCTACGTAGACGATGCAAAAGCCAAGCAAACGACTCATACCAGTTACTGATCGGTATTTTTCCCATTGAATAAAACTTTTAATTTTAGGTTGGCATTTTTTTAAATGACGATCATCTTCAAAATTATTTGAGTTTTGTGTCATTAAAAAATTCTTTTAAAAAATATGATGTAGTGTAGTAGTCTTGTGGATTACGATAGTGGTTCTGCGTTATAAACATTCCACTTTCCAGTCATAAGCGGCTGTGCATTTGATTATTTAACCAAAACATATGGGCAAAGGGCTGGTTTCTTTTATTACGCTTGCTTTATCGTTATCGTTGCCAAAGTTCGTATTGTTATCGCTATTTCATCTTATCGTTCTCGCACTGAGATTGGTAAACTAATACTATCGTTGCAAAACTAAATTAATGTGACTTCACAGTTCACACTTCACGCCGCACGACAGAACTAAACTGTTTCATACGTTGTGCAGCTGGATTTACGGTATTAGGCACTATGCACGTTTCTTGAATTGTTTAAGTACTGCGTAGTGCCAGCTTGTCATAAGACTGCAATTACGATAACCGGTATTTTTATAGTTGCAGGCCGACGGAAATCACGATCGTGATTCATACGGAGTGTGTCCGGCAGGCATATTCTCTTCGGTGCACGTAGCCGAAAATTATTGTTGTCTTGCCTTTATCATACGATTCAAACTGAAGAATTCTAGCATGTGATCATTGAACGATCTGCTCCGGTGTCGCCTGCCAGCGTTTGTTTTTTTATCGTTGGCCCACTTCTCGATCTATACTGCTGAAGACACGTCAGCCCAACCTTTGAATTCTTTTACGAAAATATTATCGGAAAAGTGTGTAGGTTTCCCGGACAATATTATGAATTCAAATTCGGATTTTCACTTGCCGCCTGCGTCTTCGAAACGCTACACTGACATGCATCGACCAGCGCGTTATTACTGCTTCCTTTGTGACTCACCCAAGTATTCCTGGGCAATTTTACTGGAGTTTACGGAGCCAGTATGTCGAGGATGTGTCAATTACGAAGGCTCTGAGCGAGTCGAATGGATGATCGAGCAGACACGCCAAATGAAGCGTGCGTATTACTGTGCCGATCCCCATTCGCGTGTTCCCGGAACCGGTGGGTTGCCCAAGCCGGAGCCTGGCGAACTGCATGCTCCTCTGGGTCCAGTGCGGTCAGAACCCAAACACAAACCTCTCGGCAACACTGACTTTCATTCTGCTAGCCTGCATGGAACAAAAGATACTGAACTCACTGATCGGCAGCACAGTGATGGGCTGATCTCAGTGTCTAGTAAGACTTCCTCCGGATCTGCCGTCCAGCCGCTGCATCCGGCTGTTCTGACCAAATATTCCGCGCGACGTGGCTCCATGCCGTCAATGGCCCTGAATCGCGTCTGGCAAAAGAGTGCGGGTGTTAAGCCACAAAAAGAACTACAGGAGTTGGTGCAGCTGCATGCTGGTGCAGCTACTCAGATGCTGCACAGCGGCGGAAGCGCAACACGGGACACTGCCGATACACCGCCAGATGGATCATCAGTTCCCAATCCCATTAGCGCCATGACGGCAGTAACAGCGGGTGTCCATTCGGGTGACCTTGGCAGTCCTAGCGTCAGTGGGAAGAAACAGTTGCAGATGAGTTTGAGTAATTCGAGAAGAAGCGGATCCATGTCCGTATCAAACTCAATGGACGCAAGTTCTCGCGGCACGCCGGAAGCCATGCGCATCCCCAGTCCGGCAAGACGATCGCCACCGGTGGTTGTTAAATGCCGGCTATGTAGTAAGGTGATTGACAATGCCAACTACATTCAGTGCCCGTCGGTTATGGAGCATCGATTTTGTTTCCGCTGTTGTAAAGACATCGTTTCCAAGGCCACGGAGAACGCACCCGCAACCTGTCCCAGTGGTGAGCGATGCCCGGCGCCGCGAATCGACGGGGATGTCGCATGGACCTTCTCGCCAACGGAAGCGCAGACCATTCTGGAGCAATTGTACAATGAAGAGAAGGAAAGTCGCAAACCGTGAAATTCAGTGCGGTGAATTTATAGTATTGTTGATTCAGTTAGTCTGGATTATTTTGGTATAGTCTTCAGATTGTCATCGTGTTTGACTTTGTAAATTCTTGTTTTTTTCTTTAATTTGTAAATAGCTCGTTGTTGGTGAGTTTCGTAGTAAGTTTCGTACCTTTGAAATTTTTGTCGTTTGCAAAACTGTTGTTACCGTCTTTTTACCGGTGTTGAAGCTTTTACAATAAATAAAAATGAATGAAAGTTACGTCTGTAAGGCGATTAAGAAATATACCGGCTCCTGCAAAAATGTTTATCAGTTACAAATTATTCGATTTTTCCAAGTCGCTTTGGGCAAAAACAGAACAAACCAGTCCAGCAGCAGTTTCTGCCGACAAAGCCCAACAAACCAACGCTAATGTTTCGCAGAAGTGTCAACTGCTATGTTAAAGACTTGAAACAACAACAAATTAATAAAAGAACGATCTCTCAGACGCCTTAACTCAACATGAAACAGAAAAAAAATCCAGTACGTGGTCATAAAACGAACATGCTGCTAATTCAAATTGCAGACCATCAGAAATTTTCTGGGAATCCAAATTATCCGAACGGATGGGTACGCTCCAATCAATTCCATATACAAGCTGGCGATCGGTCATAAATGTATCCAGAACAACGAAATCTAAAGGAAAATACACTGAACGTTATTTTTATCAACTATTGACAAAGAATTGCCGGCATTCATTCGACCACGGTTGTCATTCAATCGAGCATATCTGAATTAGAACGTACACCTTCGCTGTAATCCACCAGTGCTTACCTGGATCACGATACTCCACTATTCGGGCTCCACCTTGCATACAAGCACAAGCAAAAATCTCACGTCTTATCGGATTCTGTTTTATCCTCCATACACCTCCACCCAAACCAATTGCTCCAACCGAATCTTTCAAGTTTCTCTTGTCCCATACTCGTAAATTTTCATCATAACTAGAAATCCAAAGATGACGTTACGAAAAAAATGAATATAACCCTATGCTCAGAGCTAGGACGTATCGGTTCACGAACCTCCCCGTAAATAAAAGCGATGGAAATGCCATCCTATTTACAATACTGGTAACACCGGCTTCATGACCATGAACAGTCCGCGCAACATCTGGCATTCTAGAATCTGTCACTTTCAACAAGGAGTCGTCCGCACCTGCAGCAAGCAAGCCCGAAACAATTAATTTTCAGTATATCCAAGAATGGTTTACAAGATTACAGTGTACAGCGACAAACTCATGTAATAATTGTTTTACCAGAGTACACAATGTTGGAGTTTTCGGCGTCAAAACAAACGGTCCAGACTTCATACTCGTGTAACGTTGAAGACTGCACATGTCGAAATTCTTCATCTCGTTCTCGCAGAATAGTCACGTTACCAACAGAATCAGAAACCGCCAGCAAAATCGAACCTGTATTCTCGGACTCCCTAGGTAAAAGCCTCAATGAATTTATATATAACAAAATGTAACACTTACACTGATAGTGAATCTTATTAATTCATTTCCGGTAGGCGATACCTTTCTCCGCATTCGGACGGAAATCAGTGAACTGCTAACAGCTTACTTAGTCCAGGCCACTGCCAAGGCGAGTCCCTTAGTGCACTCTATCTTCGCAGCTTCAAGAATACCGAAATGTTCAAGTCCGTCGTCGCGCTCCGACTGCAAATTTTGTACAACGCGTAAAGTTCCGTCAGCCATTGCTAGAATGATATCGTCACGATCCAGTGTCTTCACATCCAGCACTCCAGGAAGACCGTGCAGTTGATGGACAATCTTCTGGTTTTTAACGACCAGCAGAGAACCAACGCGACGGGTGGCACTAGGATCACCGCTCTCTTTTCCCTCCAGTTGATATGTTCCACAATAAAGCATAGATCCATTCTGGGAATATTCGCACACTGCTGCATACGCATCAGTATCAATGGAAGCAAGCCGTTTCGTCGCCATTGTAAAATGTGGTGTGACCGTGTGACTTCGCAACTGATCCGCGGAAGTCACGAAAATCTTGTCTTTCTTGTCATTGTGGTTTGAACGATCGTGGTCTGTAACCTCTTTATGATCCCACTACGAAATCTGCACAGCTGATAGTCTAACAAGTAAGAATAAATAAATACTTAGCCTTACTGTGCTTTAAAAATGTTTGTAAAAATCGAAATACCCCAAAAAAATTACGAATGCTGTATGCAGGCTGTCACATTTTTCACTGCCAGCGCTATGCGGTGACGCGTATCCCGAATCAGCAACAAAACCGACCCACCTCTGGCGGCAGATACGTAATAGTACCGAACAAGCTGGGCGGTAGAGATGGGTAGGTTTTCCATACAGTTCGTATCATTTTAATTTTCAGATCTACGTAGAGTCTGGAGATTGCTGTTAATGTTAATCAGTTGCATATTAATTTTTAGTGTTGTAGATTTTTTTTAGAACTTTAAGCATGAGAACTAATCCAGATAACAGAACGCGTTTGTGTTTTCCGATTTTTGAAACTTGAAAGCATCAGATGCAACAGCAGCGAAGTCGCTAGGCCGCTTATCACGGGATTCACGATCATTCACCGTTAATAATAATTTTATTTCAATAATTAATATAATTTCGTCATTTTCATAATGTGAGTTCTGGGAGTTGTTCCGTGGTTATCTGGAGTTCTTCCATAAGCTCCAAGATTTTGGACATCGTCGCCGTGTCTTTTGGATGCGTTAAGGACCTGTGATATGGAGTGTTCCAAGGACAGAGTGTGATATTGGAAGTGTGCTACTTCTGGCTGGATGGAATGATGGACGTACAGATAGACTCCAGGTTTTTGGGCCAATGTTGAAGTTGCGCGATCGATGGAGCTTAGCCGAAGGTCTGTTCCCAACGTGACCGATGACAGTGACAATGGTCCCAAACAACATGATTACGGCGCACATCGTCGCAGCGAAAGAAATGGCCATGGAAAGGAGCACGCAACGAGAGTGCCTGGGATCAAGCGCAACTGGCGAAGGTGCGAGACGTCAACATCATAAGATTATAAGACTAATAATAAGAGCGAAAATTTGTAGTTGCTTTCCTATCTTAATTTGTGATGCTTATTTCCGATGGTTTTAACTTTTACAGTCTGCTTTCCTTTGTGCTGATAGATTCCGGAATAGAAGAGCATGTCCTGGAGAAGCCTATGAGCCGACGGATATTGAACATGTGGCCAACATTTGCACTCATGCGGTACGTGAACGGTGAAGGAGCAAACTGCAAACCCTTGTTATGCTATAAATTAACTGTTAGTTGTATGTGGCAGTGGGTGAGTGTCGTTATTTCAAGGATTAGCGAACCTGGATGTTATGTATATATTTTCTGCAAATGTTGTTTTCAGTCCTGTTCTTATGTTACTTTGTTCTTGCTTTTCGTATTGAAATAAATTTTTATTCTTCTCATTTGTCATAGTGAAAAGTACTTCATCTTTCCTAGGCTTTGTTGGCATTATTAAACTTCATTTTTACTAATTGTACACAATGTACAGACACAGTCTGGGAGAATACTCCTGTAAATTTGTATGCCAACTTGCAGATCAGTATAATTCCAGCCATGTGCGCTATGGGATATTTGTTGCTTTCCGCTCCTACCTATTTGCATGCCATCACGGCCGTTATATACGGATGCTCGCTAATTGCCTTGTTCGGAGTCTCAACAGCCTTCCATAGCGCGTGCTACTTTGGCATGACCAGAAGAGTGAAGTTTACTTTACATATCTGTGATCGCGCTACGATATACGCTTTTATCGTAAGTATGAATTTGAATTAATAGTTATGGTTTACTAATGAAAGTTGTATCTACTGGAAACGTTTTAATTTTTAGGCATGCTCCTATAGTCCCTGGTAAGTCGTTTTTTAATTATTCTTGATAATCACTTGGAAACTTGAAATTGCGTTTTTAACTTCAACAACCCTTGCAGTCCTTATATTTGTTAGATTTATTCTGTCGAAGGAATTGTTAGTGAGTGGAAATTAAGTTGGCAGAGTTTCGATTAATAAGATAATTAACGATAACTCCTCAGACATAACGCATTAATTTTGTCGAAACAGGTTGCTGCTAAAGGATGCCGAGCTGTACGTGCTGGTTGTTTTCTTCGTGCTGTGGTTCATGGTGTTCGGTGGCGCCGTATATCAGTATCTCTTCCACGAGAAATACAAGCACTTCGAGACTTTTCTGTATTTGTTTATGGGCATTATACCGGGAGTGATTTGTGTGCCGGGAATGGCTGACAGCCGGGGCATTATGGCTGTAGCACAGGGTGGAGCAGTATACGTGTTGGGAGTGGTGTTCTTTAAAATGGACGGCGTGATCCCTTGCGCTCATGCCATATGGCACCTCTTTGTTGTCGTGGGAGCATCATGGCATTTTCTGGCTGTGGCGCACTACTTGTACGCCGGGAATCTCGATATTCCGTTAGCGGCTGAGCAAACAATCCCAAATTAACGTGAATGTAGCATTGATCCGGTGGTCAGTTTTTGACGCATATCTTCCACAGCATCTTATAGGCGTCATGTTTTCCTGTGGCAGCTGTCTTACCAAAAAGATATGTTTTTCTCATAGTCATACGACTAATGATGTCAGTTAATATGTGAATTCTAGTCGGTTGCGACCGTAATTGTTTGACGTTCTTAGCTCTCTGCTAATCGGTGTTGTATTTGGTGGTTTTTTGTTGATGTTTTAATCTTGAAAGCAGTATTAAACAAGTTAACAATTCCGAAAAATGTGAACCCCAGTAATTTACATTGAAGTCCGTTAACGGTGTTTCACAGAATTTCAAACGCTTTAAATGTGGTTCACAGACCATAACCATTGCGAAATCACGGTAGACTGCCGTCTTCAAATTGTTGTTTTGCTCGCAACATTGGTGCGATGTTCCACCCTAATATTCGTCGCTTTTCGATTTCGCGGTCCATAGTTTCGAGAATCTTTTCTGTGCGAACCTTTTCTCTCTGTATTTCCTTTTCAGCAGTTTTAGCGTCTCTTGTTTTCTCGTCCTCTCGCTGGTGAACGGAAACTCTCTATAAAACACTTTCATCAATATGCAGAACTTCAATGCGTTTGTACGTTCTTTAAGTGACCTTTTGCTCGTCCCAGAACTCTAGCAATTCCTTTGTTTGGTGTGCTTTCACTTCGGCATCAGACGAATTTGGTGCGTTTGAGGGTTTTGCTTTGGTTTCAAGCATCTTTTGATATTCAGAATTTTCTCGCTTTAGATCTCTTTTTTCTCCAATTTGGCGTTCAGTCTAAAAGAGATAATATAACAAATAGCCTGTTGTGCTAGATGGCACGGCAAAATAGGGGATTTACCGCTAGCTGCTTATTAAATGACGCAAGCTCATAAGCCAGATTGGTTCTGTTTTGTTTCTCTTGATCTCTTTGCGCTTCGATTTCCTCCTGTTTCTGCACTCCTTTTCGGACGAGCGTATCGATCACTGCGTTTAAACGGGCATCTGTTGATTCAAAGGTGGTTGCAGCTGTGACCTTTTCGTTACGCATTTGACTGCAAACCAGACAACTACAAGTGTTGTTTCCGTTACGTTGCGCATTGCATTTTCATTTTCAATGTAAACCACTTCTTACTTTTGGCATTCCGTATCGTCGTTTCGCAAGTTTATCGCTCTTTCCAGTTTCATTTGAATATAATTTTTTCTGATTTGATTTTCCAGTTGGTCTTGTTCCATGGTTTGCTGTGCTGCAGCCTGTCTAATGTCTAATTCTGTAGCGTAATCCTGCCGAAGACTGCATTTCCGTGCATTGTGATCTTCCTCAGTTTCTGCGTCTTCGGCTCGAAGTTTATCATTATACTCTTTCATATATTCTGCGCGTTCATGCAGGTATGCTATCCTGCCATTTTTGTGATTTTCCGATTTTTCGATTTTTTTATTAGAGAACGGTGCCGCTTTGAGTTGCGAGTGCTCATTTTCCGGCCGACAAATTGTCAAGGCTTGATGGCGTTCCATTTCTTGTCGTTTTTCACGCAGGCTTTGATTATGTTCGCACTGAGCTTTCCAATACGTTGCCGCTTCCGCAAGTGATAACGCTTTCTGGAATTAATATTAAAAGTAAATTAAAAACTGCCGGGGAATAATATCATTATCAAAGAGGATAGCACCAGCCCCAGCTGCAAATTGCAGTTGCACATATCGTGGTCCCAGTTTCGTTATACAGGAGTATCTTCCTTTTTCGTGGTCGAATTTATCATAAGTTAAAAATGCTTATCAAAACTTGATGCGCCCAGTGGTCGCTAATTGTTTAGTGACTATAAAGTCACTAAATATTGAAATCATTTTGAGATATCAAGACCACTGCGTTAAAATCAAATCGGTTTCTGCAAACCTGAAAATTCCTCATTTCTTCAGTGTTTTTCACGGCTAGTCGTTGAGCGTATTGTATGACCTCTCGAGCTCTGTCTTCGGCACCTCGCTCGCATTCTTCTTCGAGTTTTACCGCTTCGTGTTCCAGTTTATCTTTCGTTTGACGTTTCATAAGGGCTTTTTTACGCATGTTTACCTGTAAACTAATAGTCGACAATCTCAGTGATTTTTTCAAGTGACATACAGACTTCGTAACAAGGGTAACAATTTAACGCTGCAGATTCATTTTCTTGTCACCATTTAACTGCACACAGGAATCGAAGGTGACTGTTGAACCGGCGCCGTGCTATGCGATGAACAGTATGAACGCCAGTATAACTACTGAATTAGACAGGAACCTACGATTAGTTAATATTTATTAATCAGCGTATGGAAGTACTTACTTCAAGGGTGTTGCTCCAGTGCGCTTTCAGTTTTCTGGACTCCTCTGCCATGCGTGCCCGCTCAATCAGTCCGTCATCCGGTATGTCTGTGTGGATTTCTTCCGGCTTTCCTTTGATGTGTTGCCATTGTTCCTCCGTAATGAGCAGAACTGCATCGTTATATTCACACATAACAAGCACGTTTCTACAAAAGCTGCTTTGCGACGTTAAACAGTGGAGTGAGAATGTCAGAATTTAGATCTGCATGCTTCGGATCACCTTAATTTGACAACGACGTACCGGCATGTGGAACATTTGAGGTCAATTTTTGTCACCCTTGTTACTGACCTTTTAACAGAACTGTGCATGGAGACCGGCGTACTTTGTAGTAACCACCAACTTATGGAATTTCAGCGAACACTGTTGTGGTTGAATAAGACCTGGAAAACTATAAATGTTACGACTAAAATTCGAAAATAAAAAAAAAATTTAAAATTGAAAAAGCCGTGCACACAGCCAACACCGTGCGGACCCAAAAAGGTCACCCATGCTCACAGCCAACACCCGTCCGAACTCCGTGCACGCAGCCAACACCCGTGATTCCCCGCGCACGCAGCATCGACCATATTTTTTAGCTAGGTATTTATTTTTTGGTTTTGCATATGTCAGTAACTTATAATCGGACACTGAGAGGCTGCAAACTTTTCCTAGTTTACTCGATAAGCAGGATACCGATAGGTGCACACAAATACGCCCTGGATCGATTTTGTGTTCGAAATAAGTAAAACGGTTGGCTAAAGGGGCGTTGGCGCGTATGCAGTACATACTACGTCAAGCGGTTAAGCGTCCTTACTTTTATCTCAGTTAATATGCAGGAAGCAACATGAAGGATTTAGGTAAGTTCCAAAATTCAAAATTCTTTGTTTTCTGTTTACATACCGTTACGATGACCATCGATCGGCCTTAGGCAAACATGTTTCATCACAAGTAAAGGTTTTCCTTGAAAACCAGCTGCAACGCCTGAAGACATTTACGTTGAGTTAGTGTTTCGATAAATCAATTTTTGTTGCGTTTTGTGAATCTAGTGTTTGTGGTGCTCCGTTGCACAAGCCTTCTTTATTTTAAGGTGTACCAACTATTTGTTCGGCTATCGTTTCTGTCCATCCCGTGCAAAAATGACCAGCTCAAGTGCTAAAGTTACCATGATGCGGCTCATCAACGAGACCGGAAAAAGGATGAAAAATCTTAGTTCTTACGACTTCTACCAAGCCTGGCAGAAATACGATACCGACAGTAAGGCTGGTGGAGAATCCTCAGTGACCTTCATGTATAAACTGCTGGCAGTGTTTTATGAAATTAAATTTTTAGATAGCGGGTACATCGAAGACCAGGAAGTTGAGAAATTTTTGAAAGAATTTCTCGTGAATTTGGCGGGGATGTCCAGTAAAGAGGTGAAGAAAGCTCTCGCTTTTAAGACGTTGTTCAAAAGAACAGTACGTAATTTTTTATATGTAACCCATTTTGCTAAACATGTTAGGCGCTGAGCCCTGCTGGCTTAAAAGAACTTTCGGCGGCATTTTTGGCAGAACACGACAAAAACAAGGATGGCAAAATTAGTATTGAAGAGGTACGAAACTGTACTAGCCGCGAGACAGTCGCGACACTTGATGGTTGTGCAAAACTGTTTCCTGTTTCAGTTATCCAGCATTTTGCCAACCGATCAAAAGTTTCTTTTGGTTTTCCGTTTTGACAACCCGTTGGACTCCAGCGAAGACTTTATGGTGGTAAAGACGAAAATTAAGCCTTGTCGATAATTTAGCCCTGTTCTAAATTCGTCGCATAAGCCTACCTCGTTTAATTAAATCTACCTTTGCTATTTGAACTAAAAACTTTATTCGCAGTATTTGCTATTTTAATATTTGTAACGTTGTGGTACAACAGCAACTGTGTAGTTGTTCTCACACTTATATATTTGTTTACTGTACATGTTATAAGCATTATGGTCGTGAGATGTCACTGAAAATTAGCCTGTGCATTTTAGTTTCTAAATGTTTTCCGAATTTTTTAAGGCATGGAAAAAATATGATGCCGACAAAAGTGGATACATAGAGGCTGGAGAATTGGAGGTAATTACTAAACAATCCTCACGCAGGCAAAGTGCTGCCGGGTAAAATGACGTGGTAGTTAAGTACTCGTACGACTAGTGTGTGTGCTCTGGTCAGCTGTGGGCTTTATTCATGTGCAAAAGCCTGTTTTTTGTGTTTTTAATTTTTCCGTTCACAGTAGCCAGAGTACACTTAGAGTAAACTTTTATGATCTCCTGAAATTATAATTATTTGGCTTTTTCAGGGATTTCTTAAAGATGTCTTAAAAAATCCATCCCTGGACAAGAACACCATCAACGAATACACCAAACAACTCGTACGATTTTTGCTGATAATCAGCGCATTTGCACTGCATTACTACAAGCACAGAAAAATTGAGTGGTTTACAGCAGTACCCTCATTGCAATAATGTTATATCGCAATAATACGCTCATTGCTGCCGTTAGATAATAATATTGCACTACTGTTGTCTCTCGCGAACATGACACTACATGTATATGTTTTCCAGCTGGAAATCTTTGATTCTAACAAAGATGGCAAACTCAGCCTCGGGGAAGCCGCACAGTATGCCGTATACGAACATTAAATATGTCTCCATGATTGGAATCTTTTACTGGTTTCTGGTTTTTTCCTTAGGCTACTGCCAGTGAAACAGAATTTTATTCATGCTGCGGCGCAAAAGGTGAGGCAGACTTGCATACCTTTACATATCTAAACACCATAAAACACAACACACCTAAATAATTAATTGCTACCTGCAGACTAACCTCGGACAGCTTTCCCAACAGCAAATCGCTACCATTTTCAAGCAATACGATCGGGTTAGTACACTGCTTGCAATATCACACGTGTTGACTGCAGCCGAACGTTGTACACCCTATAGCCTGAACATTTTAAAGAACTGAACGTTCATAGCTTGAACATTTTAAAGAACAAATGAAACGTGACTCAAATGTTGAAACCGTACAGTCATATAATATTGTGTTTTAACATCGATACTGATGAATCAACCTGAACTCAATGCTAGTATGAATAACTAAGCTATGTAATTTAACTTTCTTCTGTGGCATTTAGGACAACTCAGGTTTCATCCAAGCGTCGGAAATAGACGGCCTTTCTGCCGACATTGTACGAATGGCCAAGAAGGACTACACTCAGGATGATATCAATACCCTTAGGGATACCATTATCAAAGGATGCGATATGGATGGAGATGGTAAAATAAACGAAAAAGAGCTTGCAATGATTATCGGAGCCGTTGCTAAATCAACGTAAGCGCGGCGTTGACCGTTATGGTAAAAGAGCTGTGCACTGTTTTTAATGCACAACTTACAGTGAGACCTTTAGCGCTTTAACCCTGATTATCTTGTTAATGATGTATCCCAGCATAAGTAGTTTAATAAATGAATATAGATTGCGGCGGACGACCGCATTATGTTGTTAATTCTAAAGCTCTTCTGGTTTTTTTAATGCATGCTGGTTTTTTTGTGGAATGTGGGTAGATTGTGGATGTTGACAATGAAGCGCAGAATCATGAGCCAGCTTACTGTGACCGTTTTGACCCGCTGCCTGTGAAATGACATAAACATAAATCTGAACTGTCCATAATTATAATTGCAGACTACAATTTTATCCTTAGTACTCGTGGGTTGATTTTAAAAGTTTTAAAGGTTTTAGGACGTGAACCACGTTATTCCTACAGTGTTAACATAAGCGATTAATAGCCGGTGTTAACCGCAACGTGAATATAAGTGCACATTATGTCGCATCAGTTGTTTCCGATCAATTTCCCACTAGAAATCATGGCTGTTTGTTTGCATAAGACCATCCCTTTATTGTACGGTTTCAAATATGTACATGACGCAAAATGAGCCGTTTAAAACGCAAACCTATAAGCAAGTGGACTCAACGAACCTACTCGCAACTGGTAGTACAGGCATCCTGTAATTTGTAAATTCATCATGCTGTCGAAACTAGCCTGAGCTATCGTATTGATGCTGATTGCAACTGTATATTGTACGTACGATACAAATCTGCAATAAGTGTGTCCTAGTACTCGGAAAATTTTATATGAAATACCACAGTTTGCCCTAGTATGGGCTTTAATAAACTTACATTATCTAAGCTCGTTTAAACAGTTTAATTTAACTGAACCTGAAACGAAAAATTTTGTAGACAGAGACTACCTCAGATATTGTACAACTCAGCGCACATCACTCCGGTTGCAGTTTCCGTCGCCTTGACCTTTCCCTGTATATGTTTGTTGCGATTGTGGTTAAGTACACCAGCATGGGCGCTATGCGGATAATTTTTATTGCGGCCAATCAGGTAATTAATGTTCATTTTTAAGTTGGTTGTATCGAATCCATTGGGAGTGTATTTGGTGTTCTAACATTTAACAACATGGAGCTTTTCTATGTTATAGTGGTAATATGCATTCCACATCAAATTTAACGTTACATCTTGACGTTACTGACGGGTTTTTCAGCGGGAGCCCTATATATGCCGCAGTGAGCTTGGCCCATGGTACTGCGTTCTTATAAGCGCTTTGGAACTCATTTGCCGTCTAAGAAATTATAAGTATGTGATTACCAATTCTATATATTTTACAGAGAGTTGCATTTGTGTACGGCACGGTGCCTTTAGTTCCCGCAAATCAATATAAAAGAAAGTTCATAATCACGCTGGTAACGCTATTATAATCAGACTAATGTTCAACTTGACTTGTTCAACTTGACAACGCACGAAGCGGTGCCACAATGACTTTCGGCTGCGTTTTAGTTGCTCCTGATTGCTATCTGTATGGCATCCAACAACGCTTTTCTTGCAGATGTATAATCCGGGAGGTGCCCCGCAAAGGACTTAAAAACGAGCATCTGGATGGTGTTTTGGGTGCCCTTACTAACCAAACAGCCGATGTGGGTATTGCCGCCCTGGGAATGACATACAACCGGGCCAAATATCATCACTATGTGCCTTCCTTTTTTAGTCGCGAATATTCTGTATTAATTAGCAAAAACAAACTTGAGCATACTTACGGAAGCTACGGAGTGGTTGTGTCGCCTTCGCGTATTGCCACCTGGGATGTGTGGCTGACCGTTATCATTACTTTGTTCTTCATTACCGGATGCATCGTGCTTTTGCGGCGCCGTCTTTTTGCTCATTATTTCATGTACACTGCATTCCTTTTATTTGGAGCAACGCTAAATCAAGGTACAACAAATATAATAATCCTGATAGGTACCTAATCATTCACAAGAGAGTTTAATGAAACAGTTTTTGTTAATATGCACAAACAGACGACATTCGACCACCAACGGGACCGCTTTCCGGCTCCGTGCGGGCGCTGTTACTCCTGTGGTTGTGCTGGTCATTTATCATTACCACCATGTTTACAAGCACCATGTCATACATTTTTACCGTTCTGCCTAATAAAGCCCTGCCGTTTACTAATTTCGAAACCCTTTTGTCGTCTGGTTTCCAAGTCGAAACGACAAGCCAAGCCCAACAGTTTTTGAATGTAAGCTCCTGCATGACAACATGCATTTTGAGTACCGAGGTGGAAGTACGTATCTCTTCAAATTCATTGAGGGCGTAATAATAATTATTGCACGAATAAACTGGATTATTACAACTGACAGCGTTGTTGCATACCATAAAAACATTTTTTATATGACACGAATAATTTTTTCCATTCAGAACTCCATAAATCCAATGGAAAGGTCAGTTGCCAGAATTGTGACTGTTTCTGACGATAAGAAACAATGGATTGGGAACATCCAGCGTATGCAGATCGAAGATAAATTCGCAACCATGGTCGGAGATGATGTGTTTGCGGAGATCGGAAATTACTCCAAATTTTTAATCGATGGACGGTGTCATCCACAAGTAATTGCCATGACCCCTATTAAATTACCTATTGCCTCGTTTGTATTGCCTTATGGGTCCAAAAGCATCGAAGTATTCCAAAAGCAGTTGCGTGCGATGTAAATTGTAGACTAATTTAATAATTGTGGACACGTTCATTTAAGAGCAGAAGCTTGCATAAGCAAATTCTTACGGCAGCATAATATGTCGTGTCACTAGATAAATTATGTTTATTAAAATTGTAACGCTTTTCCTCTTGCTTTAATAGCTATTACCGATTTTGGGAGGTAGGCATTATTCCCCATATGTTCAAGCAAGGATTACGCACAAATGGGCGTATTGGAAAAGCCGAACCGCTTTGTGGACCGGATACATATTTCCCTGTTCGTCTGGCGTCGTATGGTAACGTCAATTTAGAGCGGGTGCGTTTTGTTTGGAATGGCTGGCTTCTGGGCATTGCGTTTGCGCTTGTCACTTTTGTCGGAGAATTGTTATTCGTTATTCTAAATTCAAGGAACGAAAAACTTTAAAAACTCTTCCTACTTTTGGCGTCATATTCATCATCATGCTTGTAGCCAAAAATAGTCAAATAAACAGAACAGAATGTCATATACTGTATATCGTACGCAATCGTGGATCAAATCATCATCAATGTTATTGATCGCAAACTTATAGCTTCCCGTGCGTTCTCAAATTTCCTAACGTATTTATGTAATAATATCATATGTTAATCTTTTAAATATTCTGAGCAATGTCAAGAAAGGACTGATTTTGCGTGGAACCAGAAGTGAGAATTTGCAAAGGTCCCAAAGGTCGGTGGGCGCTTCGAGCATCTTCCGTTTCTTTCCATCCACTCCATTTGTACGTACTGTCGTTTTGCCTGTTCAACCAATTAAAAAGCAAAATTTACGCCGATTAATAGCTCTGTAATTGTCAGACAGGAGAAAAACCGTCTTTTTCCGGTTTATTTGTTGATTTTGCATTTAAGTGCTTCATTTTTTAAGTACTGTGCTATAAGCGCGTTCAATTTGCGCTGTCATCTTAACGTCAGTAAAAAATCATCGTGCCAGGTTTTGGATAACTTACGTTTCCCAGCGTTTCGACAATACATCGTCATCTTCTGGCTTTGGGGGTAACAATGCCTGTGGTAGAACAGTGCAGTTACGTAGACAAGAGTTCATCCGTAAGCATGCGGTTATTACGCAAAAAACGTTTACACGGTTTCCTTACAACTTCGTTATGGATCATGCTCTGGGACCCGTCGTACTGCGTCCGATGGTTTTCTTTGTCCCTTTTGCCGGCTCTTACAGAAGTCTGTGGAGTTCCTGAGTTTCCAGAGAAGCTTGCTTGATATACGGTAGCTCCGGTGGAACTGGCCTAACGTAAGGTAGAGCACGATGTTTAGAAGGCACTTAACTAACAATATTATTAATAATCCAATGCGGCGATCTCTCGCAGTGCTCAGATGTAATATTGCTTTGAATATTGCACACAAACAAGCTGTGTATGTCAGGAATGCCGACGATAATTAAGAGCTCATTAATTTTATGGATAAGCATCTATATCCCCAAACTTTGTATTGCTTGCAATTGTATAACAATATATATGCTTGCATAACGAACGAATAGTGTTATGGTCGTATGTATTACTTACAATACAAACAACAACACTTTGCTTACAAAGTAAAATTTGTGTTATTACAAAAATTACTAATAGATAGTATCGCTATAATTACCTACAACACATTAGGTTTACCATGTTTGGGAAAAAACGATACAATGTTACCACGACGTACGCCAAATTGACCACTTTCCATTATTTCTGGGGAAACGAAATAGTTATGGAACGTATTGCCTTTAAGAAACGCGGACTGTTTGTCGGTGAAACATGGGCTGCCTAAAGCCAACTTGGTTGCCATCCACGGTTTCAAGGGCAAGGTCGAAATATTCGTTTGGTATTCGGTCGCAGGTAAAAAACTACGCATCTAAATTAAAATCTAAATTAAAAACGCAATTAAAAACTGCTTGGGTTGTTTCAACAGCTAGATGCGTATTCATGCAGACGTTAGAAAGGAGTAGCATGTTTACCGGTGGAAGAGACTGCCCCTTACCAGATCCCTGGGCAAGCCCTCTTGGCCAATAGCGGGATAAAATGGCCGGTTGTTTCCGGCATATACATCGTTAATGAAGGCCGTTTTCGGCGGGATATTCGGTTGCATGTATGATGCCGCATGCGTCGTGACATCTCTTTGTGCGGCACCAGCTGCTTCCGCTGCATTTATCTCTCTGTATAATGAAAAAAGTCATTACATGTGTTGGGGGAGTGTATGTTATATGTGCGCTATATTGTGGATAATCCCGCTTTCAACAAGGCATAATGACCGTCGCAGTTGGCAATTAACAACGTGGGGTTGAGAGACGGGCTCATGTGTCCAACCGCTGTCTGGACCGCTATTAGTCAGCGGCGTGAAGCGTTTTGCATAATGCGCGCCAGTGTTCCCGAAGGTTGTAGCGTATGTAGTGCAGTAGAATTTGCAAGGGTCGTTCTCGCCTCCGTGGCTGACATGTATGCGCTCCTTCCAAGGATAGGGTTCGATGAGCTTGCATAAACCACTGAAATCCTTCTGATCACACCCTGAAGTGTTCATAACAGGACAACTAGCTAATTCACGCACAGAATTTATGGTTTCTCACAATATTACAATCCAGATCTACGTTCGTTCGCAGTTATTGCGAGAACAATAATTTCCACGAAGTATTCAGATTGTTTCTTATTAAAAATGCCTGGGTTTCTAAAAAAATTCTTTTTGCGCAGTTAAGTTTGATAGGAATTATAACAACTTATGGCTGCTTCCGGTGCTAGGTCTCCATTTCCGGTTACTTATGCATGTACAAAGCTATTCATGCTATGCCTTTACGTATTCTATGCATCAATCTCTTGGTAGGCTCGCGTGTTTTAAACTCTTCCGTGTTATACGTACCTGCAACTTCACTGCACCGTTGCTTTACAATCAGTAAACTAGTATAAACAACAACAAACTGAGTTTGAAGGTGAAAGCAAAGAACACTGTTTCCATGTCAATTCGGGAAAAAATAGTACTAACTACTACTACTAAGGTACAGCTTACGTGCATACACTGCTTTAACTAGGTAAAGTAATTAGATAAAGTAAAATAGTGCGTAGTTATGAATGTACAGGTTCTTGCGAAGAACAGTACAAAGTTTACTGGTACAAAAGCTGAACAGGAAGAGCCTGTTTGTTGCAATAAAAGTATTTTATACAATTTTTATGTTTTTTGTTTGCATATTTTCTGTTACTGTGCGAGCATTTCCTACACAGGGCATATTTATGTAGTAGGTCAGTTCGCAAGCATTTTCGGTCGTAGTCATTACGCGCATTTTGAACAGTCTATCATCTGGCACTAATACATAACGTTTTTTTAATGCTGATACTGAAACTGAAATGTTTATCCAGTGAAATGTTGCCAATGCGTTAACATTAAGTATTGTGCTGCACAGTATCAGCAATGACAGAAAAACAGTGACACAGTGTAATAAAAACACTAAAGTGACATTTCCTACGGAAATAGCTCCGTCAGGCCTGGATGGGAAAGGGAAATAATCGGGATAAACGGGAACTGGATACAAACCACATGGAATACTTCTATAATTATTAGGCTATTAGCCCAACCACATTCTAGCGACAGCTATGCTGACTATGCAGTAATAAGCAGTATGCCCGTATTAACTGACATACCGTAAACCACACCCCTAACTTGTGCCAATCACAGGGGTGTAACATTTTGGTTACAGATTTCCCCATAGACCGTGCAAGAAACAAGCCGTATACACTCTTATACAGAAAGTCTCACTTTCTGTTTTCCGAAGGACGTAGCGCTGCATACGTCCACGGGTATATATATATATGTATGTATATATATACCTGTAGGTATGGATCCATGTCGAATCCTATTGTAACTTGTAAGTTTGTAACACAGGATAGGGAAAAACTGAGCTTGTAACTGAGGACAGACAGAACGTTTACTGACAATAGAGAGAAATTTACTGTAAACTCAAGAGACAGAAATGCTGTAACTCAGGATGGGCAGAGATGCAGAGGCAGAGGTGGAGCATGTATGTGAACAGTGAAAGAACGCACTGAATGTCATGTCAGTTGATCCAAAGTTTCAGGCACTAGTTTTTCGTTTACCTTTCCATAAAACTTCCTAACCAACATCTCAGAAGATAGAAAGAAAAATTTGACGCTTTTTGATCTCTGATAAGTATTTTTTTGTGGGGAACCAAGAAAGTTATGCTTGTTTTGGTTTCTCGTAGACATAGCATAGGGTGCAAGCAACGCCTCCATCGGACGGACCTATGCTAAGTCTACGAGAAACCAAAACAAAACTAACTTTCTTGGTTCTCCATAAAAACCTACTTTCAAAATATCAAAAAATTCTAAATTTTATTCTCTATTCTGAAACATTAACTGGGAAGGTTCGTTAAAGTGACAACGAAAAACTGATGCTGCAAATTTTGGAGATAGTGGCAGTCGGAAATTCGGAATCAGGTACCCAAAGTCGAGACTAATACACGTATGCGCGTACGCGAGGTGGTTGCACTTGCCGCAGACTATTTCGCTAAAATAGCCGTCCAGCTTGCACTCAGGCAATCTTCCCAGTAAACAACTCCACAACAGAAGTTTTTTGCAGTTATTATGTAATAAAACCCGTCCTTCGGAACAGTCCCCACGGGGGACGCCCCGCTAGGGTTTTTATTATAGTGTATAGGTCCTGCAACAGTGTGCAGGCCTGACGGAAAATAAATACGCTTTTATTATAGATATACGAGTAGGTACTATAGGTACACTACTTACTGAACTTGACGAAAACCCACTTGCAATAGCTACTCGGGTAGTGGGCCGGTGGTTTCGATAAATTCGATGGCACACAACCCTATGATTTTTGCAGATAGTCTAGAAGTGCTAAAATAATCATAGCTGTTTGTACAGCTGGTAATCTTTAGCTTTCTGCAAAGTGTTACTACGGTAATAAAATCTCGTTCTACGTTAACGGTTTTAAAAGTAAAACGAAAAGTAATACCACTGTTTTTTTACAACAGAGTTCTGTTGCCGTTTATCGATCGTGTTGCAGTGGGTCATATCTCAGAAATCTCGTTATGGAAGCATTACCCTAGTCCATCCTAATGCAAACTATTACGATCAACCTAAAATTATCGAAACCGATTAATCTCCCTACAGCAACTCCCAAACGCACTTAAATTCAAGTGCGCACAGCCTGGTGTCAAGATAAGTCATGTAAACACCACAGTCTTTGACAATTGACTTACTTTTACAATACGCTGCCTTTAATGGTTACGGCGAGTGCAAAAACAACACGGCGTAGTGTCTGCATATGTCTCAATTCGTTCCATGGTTTAGGAATAACTTTCAAAATTCAGTAACAAGCGGTACATTCTGTGAAGTCATCACATTCTCTAAAGAACATTTAATTTTAAAGCTATAGTCGGCGCAGTCTACGGAAGCGTCTCATTGTACAGGTAGAAGAAATTAAACTTATGGTGAATAATTACTCAAGTCACTATTATTCTTATTGTACTACTATTTTTTTCCTGTCACTCAGAGGACATAAATAGGCCACATGTAATGTTAAAAATATTAAAAATACTTAAATGAATTAAAAAGCTTTTGCTAGTGTGCCTTCTATGATATTTGGTTAGCAAATAAATTATAAATTTTCTTATTACCTCAACTTCTAATTAAGCAAACCTTAATTTCATAAGAAAAGGAAGAATAACCTTGCCCAGTGACGTAATTTTAATATCAAGTAGGGATGCTCTTGAAGTGACCTTTCAATGCCCTTGGCCTCATTCCTAACGATAGTCTGATCTCGCATTTTCGGGAACTTGGGATCTTTAAAGAACTGTTAAGGCCAATGTTGCTTAAGTTATTCTCACAAAAAAAAGATATTAACATGTATCGATATCTGATCTCTAATCATATGAAGCCGCAAATGCCACTCTAACTGAAACTTCTGGAGCTTTCTGGAGACTGCAGGTGCTCGATACAGATAAGCGCACAAATACTGTACTCTACGAGTATACAAAAGCAACTTCGCATTACCGCACACAGAAAGCACTAACGAATTTAATTGCCGTTAAATAGTGAATCTTTTAACTTCGCTAGCTGCTCCTGTTAGGCAAGCTTCCCGCTTCAACGTATTTCTGGCTTTACATTCTATATAAAAAGGATGCATGTCTACTTTTACTTGATGTGTTCCAAATGTGTACGTTTGGGGGCGGCAATAAGTAGGGATCGCCGCAAAGGCTATTTTACGCAACAACATACTTATTAAATGGCATTAAAATGCACTTTGGATAAAAACGGTTACAGCTGTCATCGAAGCAAATCCAGGAAAAGCCCAAAATACACACAGAGACTGCCGCTGGACCTGTCAGTAATGCGATCAATTCTAAAGGCGAATCTATTCGAACTCATTAAAGAAAAATTCGGCTCTGGCGCGCGCCGCGCTCGCGCGGGATTCTTTTGGTGAAGCGTGAGCAATCAATTTTCAGTATTGGTTTTAATGGGCGTTCCGACGTACTCTAGCGGTTCTGACAGGACCCAGCCGACATTTCATTTCACAGACCGGAATCCGCTGTTGTGGAACGGTGCACAACCCGACATTACACGGGATAGGCGAATATTACTCAATTTGTTAACACAACACATATACATACCGATATGTCCAACCAGCGCTCATCGTATGCATACGTACGCACAGACAAACCGTAGTGCATCTTCAGTGCCGCGCAAACGCTGAAGTCAAACGAGGTCCCACTTCGCGATGCGCGCGCGTCCAATATTATAGCATATCTCATGTGGCCCCGGCGAAAATGCTAACTAGACGCTAAATGTTGACGTATTCCCGTGAGCCGCTCTGCGGATCAATATACGTTTTCCCCAGCTGTCCAGCTCGCCCGGCACATTTACTACTTAAAAGGGCAATTACGCTGAGAGGGCCTCAGATCACTTATGCAAAGTTTCCTCGTTGTGAGCGCCTGATTATTTGTATACGGATATCGGGAGCGCTGAGGCGGACGATGAGACCAGTGCGAGAGACCTTTCATGCCGGCATCTCTTTACACGCATTATCGATTAATGTTTAAGCAAATTACATCGGTTGAAAAGCGGTTATTTACCTGTAATTCGTGATATATGTACAAGTGCTTTTGTAACTCATGTCTCATGTTCTACAATAACGATAATGTCGATTATATTCAAATCGCCGCTCAGGATGCCCAAGCTGTACGCTAACCTCAAAACAGCTGGCAGTGATTGCGATCATGCTGCCGTTTCTACAGTGTCTGCAGCACCGGCTAATAATCACCAGGAAGTGGCTTATGCTATCTGCTGGATTAGTTTTACTTATTCTTCCAAGGGATAATAACGGTGAACGACAATTACGGAAATTTCATCAAACTATACCGTCTGTTTCTGTGTTATACAACACCGCAGCAACCGATTCTATCCCAGGTAAACACTACAAATGAAAGTGCTTGTAAAAATTGTAACTGCCGACATTGTTTGCATTATCCTTGTACAGATTGGCACAAACACTTACGCACAAAATGAAATGTTTGCCACTTTCATGTATTGACCAAAACGTTTATCTTAACAATGCTACACTTTTACTATGCGTGAAAAAGCTGCGAAATTTAATTTCGAGGAAGTCCTGTTTTTGGTCCATGACAATCTAGTTGTATTCAGACGCAGCATTAATATTAGTAGTCACGAAAGGTAAAACCGGAAACCGTTTTGTTTGTTCCAAGGATATTGATTGTCCTAAAATCCCTCAACCCTATATAACCAGCAGATTTAAAAGTTGCAACATTTTAACATTTTAGGGGTCATCATACCAGACTGTTAGTGTTGTTCTGATATTGTAAATGACAGCATAAGTCAAAGATCATCGTAATACCTCTGAATATTGCATGAGATGTCTGATATCTAAACGTCATATGTGCCAACACAATTGATTGATTGATTCACTGCTATTAACTTGATTCCGTCCAGGAGGCATTCATTGTCTTCCGTTCCTATAACGTGATTCAGGTTTTAAATTTTTTTGGCAAGAATGGTTTTAAGTGATTATCTTTAACATCTGAAAATCTGAGCTGTGGTTTGATTATAAATAGCTAAGTGACGCATAAATTTTCAGTAAATACAAGAACACAACCAGATACCAACGAGTTTTTTAAATCCAGATGATTGAGTAAGTAACTGTTATAAAAAAGTATTATTCGAAATTAATAAATGACGTTAGACATTCAGCCGCGCGTTGCCCCGCAAGCGTAATGCAACAATGAAAATTAATACGGGGACTTTGATTATTTTCTCAAAGGTGGTCGATGTATTATATACCCTAATTTTAACGACATTTGATTGACACTAAACGATAGTATCTCAGGAGAAATCGAATTCGGAGGCGCTATGTTCCTCAAGGAATATGATCGATTAAATTGGTCAAAGCAGTTGGTGCCTTCTGCCGCCTTTGGTTTGACGCATACTTGCAAACTTCGAAGAGACCATTAGATAAACCCTACGTAAATTAAATATACCGGTAATAATAATATATATTTCTTATGCAGTTTCCGTTCATTAGCAAAAATTACATGACGATAGCTACTAAAATAATTATAATAAAAATTTGAAATTGTGTTTTCCTTTGGTTATTAATTTTGGCCTTTGATGAGTATGGATAGATGACTGCATCTATAAAAATCGAAAGAAAAGTTTTCTTCTGTATAGATATTTGTCTGCCCATTTACCTTTATCCATAATGCCGTGACTACCATTATAATATGTAGTAAAATCCCGATTGATTGGGAATGCACGACATTTTGATTGTTTTTGACAGCGAAGATTATGTGTGCGTGGGCAACATAATGTTGATAAACAAAACGCTCTAATAAGTTTTAATGGTCCCTATAATCGAAATTGTTCTTGACAGTTTACTACAGTTCGCTTTCGAAAATGAGAGAGGTATTATAGAAGGTCGTAAAATTGGATCATACGCTGCGAAGACTGCTACCATCCATCATCACCAATGTACGAATTTTGTCTGACATGCGCGCAGGAATCTGACACGCAGTAATGCACTAGATGCGTGCTCTTGCATACTTATATACATATTCCTGTTTCTCCAGTATTACTAACCTGTATTTGTATGAATGTTTGGCATTAATTAATCTTTCAGTAACCTCGTCTTACTAAGTTTTTTCAATTAGAAAAGAATTTTTACGGAAATTTTGAAAGTCTTCTTAATATAATCGAACAATCGATATGCGCAGCATTGTAAGAAATCCGCATACCATACTGATATTTTTCAAAACGTGCATGGGAAAGCACCAACTTTCAAAAAATCAAAACAGTAATTGTACGCCATTACGCAATAAAAAAAATTATTAAAATAAGAAAAATCGTAGTGCACAGGGAGTCGTGAAGTCACAATTCCATCCTCACTAGAGGTTTGTTTCATCCTGTAGAAGCCAGGCCGGCGATAGGTATGCCTTCGCTTCCTAAGATGGCGTCCATTTTAAATCCAAGGTTAATTTCCGAAAGTCCACAGCTAGTGAAGGTCAGTAAAGCTTTTTAATTACTTTTTTATTCTGTTTGGACGGTAAGCTTACATAGAAGTGCTTATGTGCAGTGCATATGATCTGACAAAATATTTGCTTGTGAGTTGAACGCGAAAAGCCGGTACTGAGAAATCTTATAACAATCGCAACCAGCTGTATGCCACGATGTACAAGTACCTACGGCTTATTTTATTAAAAGCCAAAGCTAATCTTTAAAAGGCAATTGACACAATAATATAAAGTTTAAATTGTTGCCCTGTAGACGGGAAAACCCTTTTCCCGCAGTGGAGCCTATTCGAACACGTGTGGAGATGGTATTTTAGACCCGGATGAAGACTGCGACTGTGGTACAAACTGCTCAAGTAATCCCTGCTGTGATGGTGCTACTTGCCTTTTTATTAATGGTGCCGAATGTGCGGACGGTGATTGCTGCTCCAAAACCTGCAAAGTATTTCATGCTTAGCAATTTTGTTCTCAGCTTTTTTTTAACTTACTGATCAGTAATCTATTAACTTTGCAAAACACCCCGATAACACTACGTAGCAGCAATACCTTTTTAAGTTTCTCTCTCTTGCAATACAAATACAATGACACAACAATTTTGCAATTTTTATCGAGTAATCAATCATAAACGTGTTAATACAGTTGAAGTCCCATCACGAAGTCTGCCGGCCGGCAAAGAATGCATGTGACTTACCGGAAATGTGTTCGGGACATGTTGACTGCCCGCCGGATGCCTTTAAGAGGAACGGAGACAGCTGCGATGAAGATGGCTTGGGATACTGCTACAACCGCGCATGCATGAGTCGAACTATTCAATGTGTTAACGGTGAGCAGACTTCGCGCAATCAAAAACAGAAAGCTAATTTAGCAGTTCGAAAAAATTGCACATTTTGCGATCCAGTTTGGGGTATTCACAGTTCTACCGCCAAAGATGAGTGCTATCACCAGTTCAACACGCGCGGGGTTTTCAACGGACACTGCGGCTTAGTGTCAGACGGAAGTCGATACATACCATGTGCGCCGAGGTATATAGATATACGCGTAACATATTTACAATTAATAATAAAAGCGGTTTCGCGACACCGATCTTATTAACTATCGTAAAACTAAGAATGATAATAACTTTAATCACTTGCAGTTTTTCTTTACGTAGCGACGTCTTCTGTGGAAATTTGCATTGTCGCGGTGGTGGCTATACACCAAAAACTATTGTGAATTCTCCTGCCTTTGCCACTCAGATCCTAACAAATTCAACAGGATCTCTGATTCAATGCAAGTACGAATCGCTGTTAATAACTGCAAAAAATGGTTTGCGAAACACATTAAGAGCAGATTATGTAAAATTGACGAAGTACCGAAAGACAAGTACTGTATATAGCACAAAATTACGTCTACATATGAAGAAATACACCTGTTAAAATTAAGCTAATTGCAAATATTACTCCTAGTTTCATGCAGGAATAATGCACACAAACCCAGTCAGCTCTAACCGTAAGGGCATTTTATATGGAACAAATGCATGAGTGAATTTCATTTGAGGCTTATTGAAGATTAGCGGCGCATCAAGCGTAAAAACGATCGTTAGCAGCATCGATAGTCATTAAAAATGAACTCGATTCAAACATTTTGCATATGCTGTATACGGTGTCGGATCATAATATGGAACAGTATTGTATTATTGTTTAAAACCGAAAGAGTTAGTTGCTTTCGTAGACGTCACTCATAACTGCCTACCTGTTTTACTGCATCTTTGTGCCATCACATCGTTTTCGTGTGCAATACCATAATAAACACCCTATACCCACAAACCACAAGCAGTCGTGACGTTCGTAGGATCGTTTCGGGAGCCGTATAAAAACTATGACTACTCGTACATTGAGTACGCTGCACCACATATATATTGGAGGAAAACTAATTATTTACTTCTAGTAGTCCTATACGAATTTTATAATTTCAGGTCCAAATCCCCAGAAGTCATCACTGTCAGCGCCGTGGAAGAATCTTTGATAAAAGATGGCACAAAATGTGCTGATAATAAGGTAAAAATGTAACAGACACCTTTCGAATGTGTTCCGTTTTGAACAGGAAGTCTTTATCTCTACATCTACAGATTATACTTATGCTCACAAGTCAATGTAATGGTGAATACTCAACTTGCAGGTATGCCTTAAAGGTCACTGTGTGAGTTCAGATTTCATAATGACGGCCACGGACTGTCCTGTGCGTAACGGAAGCGTTTGCTCCGGACATGGCTTATGTACGGACTTAGGAACCTGCTACTGTGATCCCGGTTTCGGTGGATATCATTGTGAACATGAAGACAACTCAACATTGCGAAAACCATTTGTACCTTATGAGTACAACATGCTTAATCTTCGTAGAGGTGTCATTAAAGATGCTCCTTCAGGTAATTTGCCTTCTTATTATAGCGTGAATATTATGATATGTTAGGTAATAACAGCAACAGCTCGTTATAATATTATTTATGCCCAAGATTCAGGAAGTTTAGTAGAGATACAAGTATCTCAGTCAACACATTACGTAGCCATTGATGCAATTGCACGCACTTGGCGTTATGGTTTGTTAGGGCCAAACGAAAATCAGGCCAACAATGCACTCTTGCAAATTGTCGTCATCGCGGTTTCTGGAGTCGTATTATGCCTAGTTATTGTGATTATGTCCCTAACCTGTTGCGGCAATCATTCCAACAACGGCAATGATTATGGCATCAACGGAGATCCGCAAGAAGAAGGAGGGAACCGGGAAGCGGAAGCAGTTACAACATTGATGTGATTCGAGATAGTACTATGTGATTACTGAAAACGGCATTTACAACACTATTTCCTTAATTTACAAGCGTTCCTGGACCAAATTTTGTTTGTGTTTGTAGTACAGCTGCTATAACGTTAGTTAAATTACCACTGTCGTTGGTGATTTTAATTCACACTTTTGGAACTACACTCCTATAACTGTGCAGAGTTGCATATGTCACAAAAATACACAAATAAAAAAAACAGAATCCTCTTACGCGCATGTAAGTGGTAAAATCCACCGTGTAAATTATCACCGAACGTATTTATTTCCGGTCGGCATCATTCTCGTGTAACCCGAAGTAGCCCGTGAGGTGGTACCTAACTGACGTAAAGATGAAACGGCACCGGTTGCTGTACCAGCGTGAACGACGCGAGGACCAAGAGACAATCCACTAGATTTCGCGGGCGGCCTACCGTCATCAAAAAGCAACTCTTAAAAACGCACACCCAGTGGATTTTGTTGCAAAAATACTGCGAACGCTAAAAGCCTACATTATATAGATGTAAAATAGTAAATTAAAATGCCTCGAGTAACATATTCGACTGATTCTAAGATCCTTCATGTATAGTATCATATCACTGCTGCTTGTTTTTAGACCGACAGACATAAACCGCTTTGATTAGCCCGAAAAACTACGTACCCTTTGTTTCCAAGTGTTGCCGACACTTTGGTAGGTATTACCGATACAGGAAGGGGATCTTTTTTCGTCCAGCTGGGCGTCAAAATCTTGGCTGCGTGCGCCTGAGTTGCTGTAGTTCCGATAGCTTTCGGCACAGGCAGTGAAGTGTTTACACCGCCGCTACCTGCGATAATTACACAATCAATAATTTACTGCAATTGTTGACTCCTAATAACAGAATTTTTCAAGATCAGTATAATGTTGTATCACCATCTTTTAAAGTTTTATCCTATAGAATCTGAGTATGACAAATCAGGGTGACTGTCCGGCCTGTTTGTGTATCAGTATTAATTATTAATTAATTTTAAGTAGGTATGTATGTAAGGAAAAAAAACTATGTGTGCGATGGGCACTGGAACAGACTTTTAAAATTGGGCATCAGCATCCGAGAAACGACTTTATTGCGTTGTTCCTGTAACTCTTCCTGAGTGGGGCCCGCAGCTATGAAACAATAAACGGTCATGGCGTAACACAAACTGCAGTACAGTTAAGACATCTTACCGGGTTCCACCTGAAAAACAATTGAACTGCGATGACTGGATCCACTGGCAACCATGCTCCCAGGTCGCGCAGCAGCAACACCGGACGATTTGGATGCTCTACGGAATAAAGCGGTCAGTCTCCGGCTAACTTGTAAAAGAAATCTCCGATTACAGCGATTAAACGCACACAAGGCGCGCAGTTGTACCTGGATGTGTTTGATGGCGCCAGCGAAACCATAGATACCGAAGGCGACATTTCATTTGACGGATGACTTCCAGGTTGACGCTGGTGTAAACTAGGCAAAACGGTTAAATGTCCCTTACTATCAGTATTGCGCAATATCGTGTATTGTAAGCGAAATGACTGCCAATTGTGCGCCACAAAATCTTGAAATAGTTAACTGACAATGAACTTCTACATGCAGTATGTCGTAAGTACCTATTGGAAATGATGGTTATGAGCCGATCATGCTCTTGTTGAAGCTTGGCAATCGTTCTGTAAGGGGAAGTGAAACGCAGATTCCCAATGCACGACCAATGATGATCAGGGCTAATAGAAAATTTAAAATTACAAATTTTTAACTTACTGTTTATCGGATGCAATACGTTGTTGCAGCTGTTGGATTTCTTCAGCTCGCCTAAACAAAATTGCCACACCGTGTGTCTGGAGCACACTTGAAACATTATTGGATGCAGCAAAATTATGTCTCACCCCGCGGCGCCATTGGATGCCTCTGCCTGCAAATGGTCAGGAGTTTCGCAATACTTTCAAAGATTAAAATGAAGCTGCTTACGTTGCGCTTCAAGTGGTTGATGAGATTTCGTCGCTGGCTGTCTTGGAACATCTGCGCTTTGGTGAGATTGCCGAGAAGAGTGGTGGCTTCTTTCTGAAGAGCTGCAAGACGCTGCACGTGTTCGCTTTGCGAATGGAAATGCACGGCAATCGCGGGATCCATCTGAAGTTGTCGGTTTGGTTTCGCTTAATAATTACGTAATGCTGTAGGGAATCACATAATTTCGGACGCCATCCAAAAACGTGCAACAAGTACTCGCTTTCATTAGATCTTACGTTGCTGCTGATAGCCATTGTCCGACAGTTGCTGCTACACTGGACACATTTTCCTCCCATTTTCTCTGCACAACAACAATGCAGTTGTGTTCAAACGTGAACAAAGATTCCTTAAAGCAGCATAACAATAAGAGCGTCGCACCAACCTGCGCAGCCACGACAAAATAAGTGTCCTGTTGTGCAAGACAAACAATGACAAATTAAAGCAGTTTGGACGCAACACAGACAGACCGCGATGGGTCGCACTACCAATAAAGAGTCCAACTAGTTTCATTTTCATACCACAATTCGTGATTATAAAATTTGTGATATCCCCATCCATTTTGGGTTGTAGAAAACAGTGGTTGCAGTGAATCCAGTCCATTTTAATCTTAACATGCGCACTTTACCAGTAACTCTAAATTCTTTCCGACAACGTCTGCAAAGGCCACCACCACATTCACATTTCACGCCGTATTACATGCGTAAGGGGAAGTAATCGTAACTAGTTGTACAGTACTGAAGGTTAGGGCAGATCCAGTATGCAAATTATGCGAGCCGTTCAGAACTTTGTAGCGAACAAGAAAGCTTGATTTTGCACATGTGCGATTGCATTAGCTTCCGGTTCCCCATTACAATTATCTTTGGTTTTCCACTTTTCACTTCTACAGTTTTACATCCACTACTACCGGCCGTGCATTGTTTTCATTCCTACCATTGTACGCAACACCAATCTCTTCACAAGCTGCAAAATTAACCTTTCGTCGCATAATAATCGGTGGATATGCTTGTGCGCTGTAAGTTGTAACATAACCAGACATGTTACAACAATTTTTGCAAAAATACGGTTGTACTGGTATGTTTGCATATTGTGGTCGCATAATCCGCGTTTAGTGCTTTATACTTTTTTCCGCCATAATCAATGTGTTGTATGTAAAATACCAATAAATCAATAAGCATTATCTATTGTTAGTTTTCCCACGAATTCTCAAAATGTGGCTTCTTAGCTGATTCGGCATTAATTGTTGATTGCATATGTTTATTTCATTGGTCTAATCAGCACAGGTGAAGGCAACCCTTTTACAATTAGATCCATTTTAGCGATTTCAACCCAGATCTGGCAAGTCGTGGCATTGATTTTGGATATGCAAAACCTGAGCGTCTTTACAAATTTGTAGAGTTTGTAATCGGTTTAATCCCTCTAACGTATTTAAGTACTGTATTGTCGCTAATACCTTGAGTACGAATAAATTTTTTAAAGATTAAAATATACAAGATTACCGCAGTATCCTGGTGACCAGAATGTACTGCTTGACTTTTTTGCTTGTCTGTAATGTATTAAGTACGTACACATTTTAGCGAAAAAAATTAATGGAGCTTGTACATAAGATATGTCATGCGAATCAGCGCTAGTAAAAATGCAATACTCCTAGTTATTTTTATTTTTTACTAATACCCTCCTCGTTTGTCACAGGAATCCCCAGTCAATGGAGCCTGATTATTGCCAAAACCCGACACCCGTCTATTTTATGGGCGGAAGTGCTGTCATGATGTCCTTGTTCTATCGTACGTAGAAAATATAGATTTATGGAAATTTTTCTTGTCCAGAATATTATTACTGATTATTTAATATACGTTTTTAAATTTTGCAGTTATAATGTCAAAGATGAAAGCGCACAAAAATTCCCCTGCTGTCTACAATCATGGATTTATTTTGTTTCTTTTCCTTGGACTTGCCGTATGCGCCAGAACATTTTATGCGACGCATGGAAATCCTATTGTACGTATCCAAAGCTCCGTACAGTTTTCCTATAATGCAATGTTTTTTAGTAAATCGTAAGAAGGATATGTTTTTTATATCTATATTTCCGAAAAGTTTTCTGGAAATATTGTTATTGATCGAATTAATTACTGTAACTGTGATTCTATTTAGGAGGATATTTACAAGGATATTCTGTCACATGCAAAATATATTGACAAGGATGAGAAAAACCATATGTCTGCTCTGATCTCCCAGGCACTTCATGGTGACGCTACCGAATCCATATGTAAGACGAAACAAATAAGAAATGATCATAGATGTTGTCCACATCCACTAACGATAACTTTACCGCTAACAATAACTTCCCTGGCCGTAGACTCGTAGATAAAGTCAATTGTCAAAGCAATTGTTTGGTGTGCTACTGCGCTGTGTTTTAGACTTTTAGTTAATTGTACGCATATGTTTTTGCAGCGGATCATGTGTTGACTTGGTCGAAAGCGTTGTCTGGATTTGGTCACACTCATCAGAATAAACACCAAGCGTGGGCTGCTATGAAGGGTCAGTTATACTAAGAGCACCAGTTATTATTATTATAAAGATTTCTGCTTCACCATTTTAATGACGTCCCTATAGGAATGTCCCAAGAAAAAGCAACTGATGAACTCCGCTCCCGTGCATGCAGTGTCTTGCGACAAGTGCATTCAATTATTGAAAAGGAACCCGGCGTAACACCGCAATAATTAATTATTCTTCCTTGATCGTCTGGTATTTATTGTACCCTGTACTAAAAGTAAATCGCTCCCCCCATGGCCATTCTTTGACCTATTTTACTTCCTGTGAACAGCTATTTTATACGATGGACAATAAGAATCAGAAATGTTAATTTGAGACAGTCGTGATTCGTAAAACAAACTGACTGTTGGCTACGCAGTAATACACACTGCCGGCACTGGTATGATTAATTATGAAACACAAACGATCATCATAGAATATTTGCACATGTTTACGGTAATAATAATCCTGCATAATTAAATAAATTTTTACTGCCTTGCGCGGTACTTTTACGCACAGTGCCGCCGCACTTCAATCTGAAGGTATTGCAAATAGCTAAAATTTGGCGGACATCCAGGGACACGCTACGGCGGTTTTAAATAAAACAATTTTTAACTCGGGAAGACCGAGATTTTAATTGATTTCGGAAGTTTAAAATTTTAATTGTAAAGCGCCACCCTAGTATCCGCGCTTGCACCTTTTGGTATAACATCTATAGAATATTATAATATATTAATTCTGTTTTTTATGGATTCTGACCTGAAACATTCCTGTTACAGCGGGAAAATAGTAACGCGAACATACAGTGTACGTTCTACGTCGTACTTCTCACACATCAGTTCTTAACTAATAAAAGTAATAATAATAATTATTACTATTGTTATTAATATTGTACGTATTTTCGCTCGCTTGCTTGACTAGTGCAGTACTATGCAGCGGACGGCGGAGTCACTGACCTTGGTGCAGGACTGCAGGAGTCTGACTGACGAACACGATACAGACTGCACTCATACGAAGGTAGCACTGGGCAATTTAGAATATTGTAAATTGCACAGCACTTATGTGGTACTTATTTAATCCCACCCTTCGCAAGTTCGCATGCATCCAATAGCTTTCCGTAAGACTGCACCCAATTGTTCGCAAAGCCCTTGCCTAACACGCACGTAACGGAAACTGCAGGCCTGGGATTTCGGCATGGTTAAGATGGAAAGTTGACCAGATTCGTTTCAAATGGAAAATTTCCAGTAGATGGAAGTGCGTTTCATGACGGTTTCGTATCTTCATTGCCTGTTGATTATCCGCATTTCAGCAGTTTAATATCCAGAAGTGCTTGACCTCCACTTTCTTTGGTAAGTTACCGTGAACGGTAAAGTGTGTTTCCCGGTTGCTAAATATCTTTGGAAAGAATTCTAAGCTTTCCCTTTCGAAAAGACAGTTTGTTTTGCGAAATACTTACCTTGTCAGCGACCGGCTCTTACTGAATAATATTTAGCAATGAAACTTTGTGAGTAGAGTTGTCTTAATTTTGTAAATAGAGCCAGAACAGAAACATGGACAATCGACCAATGGGTGCGAATGCCGATCGCTTGCTCAACAAACTGAGCGGACAGAACTGGAAGGAAGGTGTTTTACCACCGCCAAAGGATCCTCGTTGCCAGACAAGCGTCAGTACAGGCTAATGACCTTTGCGATGTGACAGTTTCCGCGTGTGTCTACTGATCGGATGCTTTTGCAGGATGTGCTTAATTCGACGGCCAAATCTTTCGAAGAATTCGGGTTGAAGCGGGAGCTGCTGATGGGATTGTACGAAGTAAGCTGCATGTGATCCCGTTCTTGTGCGTTTCTGCTAAGATCGTTATTATGAATTTCTACAGACTGTTGTAACAACAAATGAAACGGTTTAACCAAAAAGCGATGTGTTTGTAGATGGGATTCGAAACACCGTCACCCATTCAGGTACCTCCAACCGCCGGTCGTATGGTGTATCATGGTAAACCTGTTCGCATCCACGATTTCATAGGAGAAAGCCATTCCGGAGGCTCTGAAAGGTGGCCATGTTATTGCACGTGCCAAGAACGGAACCGGCAAGACTGGTGCTTTCATGGTTCCGGTGCTGGAGAAGATCGACGCGACCGATACTAGCATTGGTCGTCCTCAGGGTAAGTGAGAAAATATCAAGGAATTAGCATTTTGCGTTTAATGTACACAGTGATGTTGTGCTTTGTAATATCATTGCACTATTTATTTGTCGTAAAAATTGTCGAGTGGTATAAATAACGTTACTAAATGAATTTTTACGGTGACCTTTTTATCCGGATTTTAGTAAATCGCGCTTTTGAGCTGGTAGAATAATATTTATTATAGTATCATTAAAGAATACAGAAACTTTTATCAAGTAACAATTGGCGTCGGAAATATACTCGACGAAGTTACTCGAATTTTGTTTTTATTTTCAGCCTTGATCCTGGTTCCAACCCGAGAAGTGCGTATGGTTCTGAGACGATTTGTTTATCAAAAAACTTCATCTGATTTCTTTGCTCACAGTTGGCACTGCAAACTTCGGCTATCTGTATGGCCATGGGAAAACATCTGAATGTCAAGGTCATGGTTTCCACTGGTGGCACGGATCTGATGGAGGATATTCTGCGACTGCAGCAAGTTGGTTAGTCTGCACTGTGTTGGCTGCTGCCTCGCTTATTTCTTCGCTGTGTTTTGCATGGTTTGCGAAATTGAAACAGTTGTACCTGTTTTTTTTTATGCTTGTAGTGCACGTCATTGTGGCTACACCTGGACGTATCCTAGATTTACTGATGCCCAAGATGGACTTCGAAACCGGAACCGAGCATCGTTTGATCAACAGCTCGGCTTGCAACATCGCTGTCCTGGATGAAGTAACGCCGTGCTAACCATCAGGCTAATCTCTATTTTTGTGCAGTAAACATATGGAGCTTTCTGTTTAGGCCGACAAGCTACTCTCGCAGGACTTTGGACAAATGGTCAATCAGATTCTCATGGAACTTCCGTCGGAACGACAGATTCTGTTGTTCTCTGCAACATTCCCCGTTTCGGTCGAGAGCTTCAAGGTAAGCGTGCTCCGTAATTTATTCAACGAAAACGATTTTGAAGTAGATTCTGCACGGTAGAGATACTCGTTCCGTTAACGCACCAGAAATGGTTTTGCGGTTTATATTAGATATAAATAAGTAATCGTTTTCTGGTTTTTTTTGTGAATCAGATAATTTTGGTTTGTAGAAGAAGTGTGAATTTTGTATGCTTATTACAGGCTCGTCTGAAGGCTCCGAAGGTTATCAACTTAATGAACGAACTGACTTTGAAAGGGATTTCCGAATTCTACGTCTATTTGGAAGAAAGACAGAAGGTCCATTGTTTGAACACTCTTTTTTCCAAACTGGAGATTCGCCAAGGTCAGCCACAAGTACATGCTTGCCGATGTCGTCAGCGTTAAAACATTTGTATGTATTTTTCAGCGATCATATTCGTTAATTCCTCCAAACGCGCTGCTCTGTTGGCGAAGAAGATCGTGGACTTGGGATACTCATGCTTCTACATTCACTCTCGGATGAGTCAAGATCATCGGTGCGCAAATTCGTCACCTCGCATACAATATAGCAGATTTTACTATTCATCCTGTTGATGTGGTTTTCATTTGCAGTAACAAGATCTTCCACGACTTCCGAAACGGAGATGTGCGCAATCTGGTCTGCACCGGTAAGGTTATAGCGCTGAATTATCAATAAAAAAACCTTCGGGGTGCAGTTATCTCTCTACGGTTTCTTACGAACAACATCAATGTTGATTTTTCAGTCAGAAACTTTAATAGTGTCGTTATTAAACTGTGAAAATCTGTGATTGAGCGTTGGTGTTCAAGTTTGTTTTAAATACAATACGTTTCTTCGGTTCTATCAATTTGCTATATGCTGCTGAAATTTTGCTTTTGTTTTGTTTTTCTGTATAACTTCCGAATCTAATTTTGTAGATCTGTTCACTCGAGGAATTGACGTTCGTGCTGTGAATGTGGTTATCAATTTCGACTTTCCGCGCATGTCCGAAACCTACTTGCATCGCATTGGACGATCGGGCCGCTTCGGTCATCTGGGCATCGCTGTTAATCTGATCACCGATGCCGACCGCGACAGTCTGCACCGTATTGAACGCGAACTGGGCACGGACATTAAACCTATTCCCAAAGAAATCGACAAGCGTCTGTATGTGGCTGCTTATCAGACCAGCGGCGATGCTGATGAGATTCTCAAGAGTGTTAAAATCAAAATGGAGGAACTGAGTTTGAAGGCTGGACCCGGAATGCCCATCCCGGGAGCAACCGGTACCGCTCAGCAACAATTGGGAATGTCTAGCGCCTGTTAGAAATTGATTTCGGTCAGGTTTCTTGTTTTGTATGCATGTCGGCTACAGCCTCTCTGTTATGCTTTGTATGTTTGCTTTCCTTTCTTCAATTACTTCCGTTTTCCTTGTTCTAATAATTTTTAAAGAATCATTGTCGATATCGTTGCCTTCTAGATTTTATCGTTCGTTACAGTTTTATCGTACTCGTCAGAATCTTTCATGTCCTGCTGTTGTCTAATTTCTACAACTTCGCTCAGCGTTATGCCGGTGCTGTTCTAACGTGGTAAAAACAAATTTCCCTTCGAAGTACGGTACAGTGACGGCACGGTTAGATGTATTTAGAACACTCTTCAACATATAATAAGTAAAAACACTATTGAACTGAACATATACATCTGCGCAGCGAAATGGGCCATTCTGAACAAAAAATACTAGCAACAGGAAAGAATCTGTCCACGAGTGTAGAGAAACATGTTATGTATCTTCTTATGGATACACTCTATCATTGTGCTAATTCCTGTGGTAAATCTGAACTCGTGTTATCTTTACCTCGATAAAAAGTGAAATTCGTGCATACTTGAACACCAGAGATTCCAGATATTTTAATGGCTCGACAGCTATGTCATAATTGCAACAACAATATCACAACATCTCGATACAAAACAAAAGAACAATGCAATCGATACCAAACAAAAGAACAACAACAAAAGACTGCACCATAGATTTTCAGCCGGTTTCTAAAATACCGATTACTGCTTTCCAGAATCATTTAAATCAATGACATCTTCCATGATTAATATACCATGAAAGAATGGAGCCTCTGTTTTCGTTATTACAAAACGATATTCTTTCGACTTCTGGATTTGCTCGAGGGGAAATGTTTTACTGATCAACCATTTCCCTTCTGACAACGATGCCATGACAAATTCTGCAACCAAATTAAATATTACGTATAATTAAATAATCAACAGTCGAATATTTTCCGTAAAAGCAATAACATCTTTAAAATACCATTAACATGGAGCATACTGCTTCGCCATGGCATCTTCATCCATTCTGGTCTCATGGGGCGCAGATTTTCAAGCGGAAGGACTTCCCATTGGCCGAGGTCAATCAAGTACACGGTTGGATCATCCATAGCGCCTTTCTTCTCGTATATAATGGCACGGCACCATTTGTTCACTGTAAAATGTTTACACATTTAAAGAAAACCAGTCGTCTACACCCACTTTACTGTTCTGCTTTGCCTCACTCTCTTTGGATAATGCACAAACGAGTGTGTTCTTTTCAGGGCATTCAATATAGTTTGTCAACAGGGTTGATTTCAACCGGGATGATGGTAATTTGCACTCGCACTGTATTTCACTCATAAATTCATCACTATCTACGGCGTCACTACAGTCCACTTCCGCAGATGATTCCTCGCGCTCCTCCGATTCCTCTGCCTCCTCTGGTTCTATAAAACGCACCGACGAGGTTCAGATAAGATCACGATATGTTTGTCATAACGCAAAATATCATTACCACAGCACTGCAGCAAGAAGACGGTTTGTTAACCAAAATTCTTACCAACTCCAAAGGAATTGTAGCTTCCCAGGAAAGCTCCTAAAATTGTTCGACCATCATGCGCGTTGTCAAACGTATTGGTGACCTCTGCATGTAGCATTTGGTGCTCGTGATACTCCAAGGGCCAATCAACATCCTCTACTCTCAGGTCCATTAAAATATTGTCGTCCGCTGGCAGCTGATCAGCCAGTGGCTGCATTTTATCATCCCATAATTTTACCACGGCTTGTTGTGGAGCTAAGTAATAGAGTGGTTCAAATAATACTGTTTTCTGGACCAGTCCTTTCAGGATGCACCGCAACCGCGAATGGTTGCTGATGTCACTGACACCGCTAACAACACACCACAACGTGACGGATGGCAAGTCCCTCACATTTCCGGGTAACCGGTACAGGTTGTTAAGCCGGGTAACAAAGCGATGGCCAAAATCAAAAAGCTCCACCAAGGCTCGGTCTTCCTTGATTCTGTTGAGGATCATGCCTCGACACATGACACCATTTCGTTCCACCGCAACAACTGAATCGGAGCTATCCTTGTCTAGGGGAATCTTGGCTTTTCCAGCGCTTTCCACGGCTCGTTGGATTTTCTGCAAAGGAGAAAGTTTGTGCAGTTATAATAACTAAGCATTCGGCTGCCGAAAAAGTATCATATCAGCAATTCACAAGAGTGGAAGAATCTACTATCTAATGCTTTTATTGCACTTATAGTACTAATTGTAAGCAGTAAGTATACTAAAGAAAATAACAGAAACTATAGAATTACTTCTAATTCAGTCAGATGCCGGACGTCGACAAGAAGCAGATGGTTAACGGATGAATTAGAACAAATGTGAATAACGACTCCCAAGCGGATTTCCTCCGTTTCTGGCAAATGGAGCGTCTGGAATAGTACTGCAGAGATTTCGACAGGCCTCCGATAGCAAGTATCGTCGAACAAGCGAATTGTCGGCACTGGTTTCAAAGTAACGATCGTTCCCAGATAGTTTCGTTCTTTCAGCATTCTTGACAAATGATTCGCTGTTTCAGTATCATAACGAAATGGGTCCAGGCCAGCAATTTCCGCACGCCAAACGAGGCCCTTGGGTGTAAAAAACTGTTCATCCAGTATACGAATTTCTCGGAGATTCGCACTGTACGTGCCTCCCATATCCACCAAGCTCAGCTCAACAACTGTATTTTCCACTGACAGAACTCTTCCACGCACCCATTCATCGCGTTTTAAACGTACAGCGACAGCCTGGCCAATAAATATCCTGTAGCAATCCAACGGTTTATAATTAACAGTCAATAGCGTCCATCAGGGCGGTGACCATTCAAGATGCATAATCTGTACCACATCTGCGTATTCTAATAACAACCAGATACCGAATCGAATAACTTCTGGTCAGTGTTCGTGTAGAGGCGAAAGTGCAACTTAAGGTGAAATCGAATTACATACAGTACAAAGTACTAATTAATTCCCCACGAAATACGTGAGTCCCAGTCACGATATAAACTTTATGATGACTCCTTAGCGTAGGTGATACAATTACGGCATTACCGCGCGGTCGTGCTGGCTGACCATGGGATACAAGAATAAAATCTTTTCAAGGCATAATTCATTCTGGAAATCTCCTTAGGGCATTTGGCCAAAGGCTTTTTGGAAATCCACACATAACAGGCCGGTGAACGCTTTTCAACCTCTACCACATAGAAATTCAGCAGTTCTCCCGGACCGGCATTTCGCAGCAGACAGTCGTATTCTCTATAAAACAGCAATCCTGAAATATAAAAACCGTACTACGGCATACAAATTTAACAACGCGGAGAGTATGCTTACGTTTCCTTACTGAATCCAACAACTTCAGTTCGTATAGTAGTTCTAGTGGGTTGTTCATAGAGAGCCTTAGTATCGCCTTTTTTTGCAATGGGGACCTCAAGTTTCATCCTCACCGACCGTGGAGTGAACAGAGATAACCGAGCAGGAGCCGGTGGGACAGGGCTCGACGATGTACTGGTAATCTGGCCAGGGCTCAGACGTGCTGTACTCTTACTGGGAGAAGATCCTGGCGAAACCTCTTTTTCACTTTCCAAATGTTTGTCGCTACCGGCAGGATCAAAAGCAAGGGTTTTCCGAAAATTCTCGCTTGGTGTGACAGGCGGACTTTCGTTACTCAGCGTGGATTCACAATTGCTGAAGTCTGCCGTGCCTGCCGATGGACGTTCTTCTGGGTCTGGACAAACTTGTTCGGAATTTTGCGTACACTCACAGTTATCCAAGTCAACTCTGGCCGGTGACAGAAATTCTTTTGATGGTGTGACAGAATCTTCGCTGTTCGGAATAGAGTCGCAGATACTCGAATGATCTGCGTCCGGCGAAAGAAATCCGTCCGTATTTGAAACTATGCTTCCGCTGGTCGATGCACCTTCACAATCTCTAAAGTCATCTGTGCTCGGCGGGAGAGATTCTTCCGTAGACGAAAGTTGAGAAACGATGCCTTCGTTATCCAATGTGCAATCAGAATTCCTCCAATCAAATACGCCAGGTGGGAGAGATTGCTCTGGAGGTAAAACGGTGCTTGCGTTATTCAGTTCATATCTGTATTCACAGTTCCCCCAGTCACCTTCACACAGCGGACGAGATTCTTTCAAAAGCGAATCAGTAGTTTCGTCAAATAATGCAGATTCGATGCTCGAGTCACCTATATTTCAGCAAAGATGTCAGTGTGATCGACGAAGATGTATACATATGATGGCAAAAATTCGAACAATTTCAGCTTTACTCACCACTGGCAGCAGCAGAATGATCCGCATGCAAACTCATTTCTTCCTGACAAACTGGTTCCGTGATGGAAGATTCTTCGCCCAGTTTAACAATGTCGGGACGTTTTACTTTGAGTCGGCGTACTGAGCATTTCCTTAAATTTAAAACAATTCTTATAATAACACAAAATGAGATATCCGATAAGATCAAGCGAAATAATTAGGCAGGTATAACACGAGTTTTCATACAATCTCTTAAGCCAGCCGGCCGTCGGCGTTGTGGCACCCTTCTTTGCTCCTTTTCTGTTTGACAATTTCCTGAGTCTGGGCAAGTCAGTCTTCTTATCGGCAGTAATATTATCCGCCAAATTTCTCGCATCATTAATTGATGCATTAATCGCTTCGGTTTCCGCAACAGCATCCGGACAACTTGATAGCTTGTACACCAGGCGATTACCGAATCCTGCTTTACAAAGGAGATGCGTGCCATCAGAAGTCTCCACATCGCTTTCTGCCTCATTTTCGTTCTCCTGTGCCCTATTGAGCTTTTCGTTGTGATCCAAACAGCCGGAATACTTCCTTAATCCCCGTTAAAGACCGGACGATCAGTTCCCTTCCAGTCACGGGAACTGGATTCCGTCCAAACATGAGGTGATAGGCTGAGTAGCCTCTGTTACACACCGACACCGCCGTGCGCAGGTTATACAGAAAGCATTCTAATCTGGCGTCCCAGTTGGTGGAGTTAGCAGAGATGAGAGCAAGAAAATCGGCCGCAAGACTCATGGGGCTCACTGCCGTTGTCGAGCGGTGCAAAACGGAGCGTCTGGTGTTCTTCATCAAAGGGTACCGTGGAATTGGATTGAGAGGGTCAGCATCGGTCAAAAGCTGCGTTTGCGACGGAGAGAGTTGAGCATCCGAACCGCCGATCATGTATCCTGTAAACATGTGTCCCAATAATATAAAAATCACGTTCAGCACAAATTAAACATTCGTACGTACATCTTCTTTTCGCTCACGAAATTTATTCTAGCTAATCCGCTCTACGTTTTGATTAGGAATATTGATATATGTTCGGATACATAACGCACTTCACCGCGTTCGCATGCGATAAAAAACCACAGTTTTAATTTAATTTACTAAGATAAATGAGCTGATTTAATTTACTAATAAGATAAATGAGCTAATTTAATTTACTAAGATAAATAATAGTTTACCTTCAAAGTAAAAGACATATCAAATCGCCTCGAACACATAAAAGTAAAAATCAAAACGAAAAGCAACATTTACCCAAGTTTTCACGGAGCAACAACAACAATCACATACCGTTCTTATCCAGCGCGATTCCCGCCGTCGTGATTCCCGCATCCGGGCCGCGATCGTGTAGAAGGAACAGCTGATCCATTCCATGCTGCGAATGCTTCAAAAGGACCGTACTCTCCGTGGCAGACTGAATATCACGCTCCAAAAGTTCCCTCAGGCATTCGGCCACTTTCTGGCATAATGCATACGTCTGCTTACTCACGCGGATTTCGCAACGACCAAAGCGAAAGTACAAGGACAGAAGGAATCGAGCGATCCCCTCCGGACTACTGTTCGCGAGAGCACGCGCTTCCGTCCAGTACGTGCAAGTGTCCACGGCGAAGATCAGGCACCGGTTGCCTTCCGAAGTAGGAGCTAAATCGCCCAGCATTTCCACACGGATCTGTGGCGCAAAATATGTAAATCAGCCGAGAATTTGGGATACACAACAATGTACAGACTACTGTCGAGTTGAGTTCTGCTCAGCGACCGCAGAACACTGCTTTGTGTACCAACTTGCTCAAACTCGTTGTTCTCGCTTTTCTCATTTTTCGGCTAAAGTTAAGTACTCTACCGCGCATACATATAAACTTTTGTTTAGACACAATGGCATACAGTAGCTCCTAATATTTAATAAAACGTGCCACGGACGCACAACCACAGTTTTCAAGCCAATCAAAACAATCTGGAGTGTCCGAAAAAACGTGAACCAGAAGCGATGGCAAACGCGTTGCAACCAAGACCGGAAAACGTATTGTTCTCCATGGCGTCATGGTCTGGCCCTGGTCTGACTGACCAAACTCGCTTTCAACAGCATACGCCATACAAATCACACAAACCACAACTCTGTGACACTTTTAAACGTTACCTTCTTCCATACGTTAGGCAGTATCGTGGCATACACAAAGAGGCTCTCCATGACATTTCAAAACACGCGGAAACATGTTAAACTTGCATCATCAAATAAAAATTAATGTACGCAAAAAAGCTTGAATTTTACACAAAACTTGCATCTGAGTGGTAAATTGTGAAAGAGCCAAACCTTTGCGCATGCGCCATGCATGCAGGTCTGACCGTTTTGACATGTCAGGCGAAAAACTTTCGTCACTGCTGACCGGGAGGCGGCTAACGCGTTTCGGTGTTAGGGAACACCGCCTCCCCCGTTGATACGAAGTTCCTTGTACTCCAATGATACTAACCGGCACTAACATGACCAAACTCACCGAAAGCCATTTGCTTTTATTGGTCTGGTTTAATTCGAATTTTTTTTTGCTTTTCCTTTTGCTTTGCTTTTTATTTACTTGCTTAGTTTGGCTCAGCTTGCATCTACCCCCTACAGATGAGAAGGAAACACCAACGCCTTGGCACCTTTTGTGATTCTGAAATTTACGATTATAATTATAAAACTTCAGTGCCTAGAAAACTTCGCTATCCAGAGTTATCAGTGGAGAGCAGGGTGGCCAGTGGTCAAGGACAACCGGCAGTTGTCACGTAATTTTTCACCTTGTCAACTGACAACTAAACTTTTAAGTTAGAGCGAATAAGTGAGGAAATACATACCATGCATTCCTGGTGTTGAAGACAGCACCGCCGGCCTCTTATTTAAGCCATCTTAACTTTTATATACAGCAGTTATTTGCTTCGAAAATATTTTAATACGAATGTGCGCACTTAATAAACCAGCCAAGGAGCAGTAAATCTTAAGAAGCAAATAAAGAAAGAACCACTTAGATAATTAGAACAAAAACATCGTTATATGTAGCTTGTGTCATAAAAGAATCGCAACGACCAGCGAATCGGTACGCTGCCGCAGGCAAAACCCGGTTGCCAAGGTTGACCTTGCCAATGTTGACTTTGCAAAATCTTGGAATACACCTGCTGCCCTAAAATTACGGATGCATATAAAACAACGTCCATTTAGCTACACACAACTTTTGCACACAAATGACAAATCCATATGTGTTGTACCTGCACTTTCTACTGTAATAATTACCCGGTTCTACGGCAAGCAATTTTTTGACGTGCTTTAGACATCGTCGGAGCACAACACGCCGTCTTAAGAACGGCATGTTTCAGTATACTTATGGAGCCCCTTTTTATGTACATTTTCACGTCTAAAATACTTGGTTTACGGAACTATATTATGGCTTTTTGAAACTCAAAAAACACCCATCCAAAGGACATCTTTTGGATGAAGAAGACATGGGCGCTTTTTTCATGAATAGAACCGGGTTATATTCTCTTAAACTATGTAGCACTAAAGTCAGACGCGCTGCGGATAATTATTTTTCTATGGGATTTAATTTGTGTGTCTCAGTAAATTACACCCACATAGTAGAGTGACCAGCGTTTGGGCGCCAAAAACACCCCAGGGGGCCGCGCAGTAACACCTGCCGGCAATTATCTATATAATTAAATTTAATTTAATTTAAACAATAGATATACGCAATTTATACTAATTTAATTAGATTACGTAATTCATTAGCTTAAACAATGGCTAATTTTTAGGTTTTTAATTAACGAAATAAAAAATACTAATTTAACTAAAAAACACACTGTACATACAAAAAAAACTAACTGTACATAGAAAAAACTAACATTACGTAATACTTACGTATGTACATATGTACACATAAAAAAGCGCGCGCTGCTAGCAGCGCCACCTTACCTGTGCGTGCGTGCACGGTATATGGGCGCTGCGCGCACAAAGACGCTTGTCTCGGCTAGCGTCTTGAAGACGCTATGCACACGGCGTCCATCTCACAACGCCATTTCTTGGCATCGAAAAAATTCTAAAAATATTAGAATTGAGTTCCCTAAGAACCCCCGCGTTTTATCCCCGATATCCCGCAAATCCTCCTTGGATTTTTGTCCCTCGCTGAGTGTGGACTGTGGAGAGTGTGTGTGTTGTGTGGTCTCTGTTGGTTTGTGGTTTTTTGGCAGTCACAAGTGCCTTTTGAGGTGGAGGAGTCTGTGCTGCAATCTGGCAGCCATCGCATCGCCGTTTCACGCGTGATTCCTGCGTGCTGTCGCTAAAGTAAGTACCGTATGTACTTTTTATAAATATTTATATAATAGTACGTGCCTGCGTGTGTGGTTTTTGTACATTTGTACATTCGTGCGAATGTAAATGTTTTTTCTCTGCTGCATTGCAGATATTGTCTGCCCGTCGTCGGACAATTTGGCCGTTATCGCGCAGCACCAGCGCTCGTGTTCCCGTAGTTCAACGCGATACGTAAGCGCATATATTATTTTAAAATTAAAAAAAAAATAAATAAGAATGCTGGGCATTAGTTTTTTGTATAGGTTTGTACAAAAATTTGTGTTTTTCTGCTGTAGTGCAGATATCGTTTGCCCATATCGGACGCGTTGGCCGTCGTCACGCTGCACCAGCACCGTCTCTCTCCCACATCAGCCTTAATGTAAGCGGTAAAATTTGTTAAAAATGAATAAAAAAATTTAAGAGCACTGATTTTTTGTGCGAGACGTGTACGTGAACAGCGCTGCCAAGCTGATATGTGGGGATTTTTGCAGAAATCCAGCCATCATTGGCCGTCGTCGTGCTGCACCATCACCGTTTTCCCGTATTGCCCAGATTTCAGCGAGGTACGTAAACGGGGATTTTTATTAAATTTTAATAAAACATAAAGCACACAGGCCAACAGTTTTTGTAAATTGTACATATGCACAATGGTTTTCTGTGCCGTATTTTGCGCCTGCCTGCAGAAACTTATTGGCCACCGTCAGCGCTGCACCAGCACACTAAAATTTTTGCTTTTCCACACTGATCGAGTGTGGAAAAATATAGTAAAATTATAAAATTATAGAAACTGTGTGTGCAAAGGATTTCGCACATAATTACATGTGTGTGTGTAAATACGAAAAAGCTAATTTTAACAAAAATACTACGCAAACTAGCGCTTCTCTGTTCGAACACGCGTACTCGCGCTTTGTGCGTGCTGAATTTGTTCGCACGCGTGCGGTTAATGATTTGTCGATCGTAAATTCGAAATAATAAAATAAAACTACTGATTTCATCGATATAGCCGTGCACCAACACCGTGTTTCCGTAGTTTAGTACGCTAATTTTTTTAAAATTTATGAGAAATTCCACAGCTGTTTTTGGTAAGCGTCTGTGTACATATTATGTGCATATTGTACAGTGCGGGTTTTTCTTCTGCAGGCTCACCCATCACGAGCGCGTCATTCCCCCGCTGTGAAACCATTTCATCCCACGGTCTGCCTTGTGTGCCACCCATTCTGTCGGTACTATTCCCAGCGTCGAAGTGTAGTGCCGCACCCAGCCTTTCGGCACTGTGCAGCGTCTCACAGCTAACGTGAGTAATAATAATAATTATTTAAAAATAAATTGCACCAACACCGTGTTACCGTAGTTCAGTTTTTAACAATAAATAAATAAAGCGTTTTGTTTTCCGGTTTTGCCAGCACCATGTTGCCGTAGTTGACAGTGAATCTTTGATTTAATTTCTTAACATAATAATTCTTCACTCTCGTACATTTGTATGTACTTTTAAATGCCTGCATTTCTACATATGTACAGATTTCATATATACAGCGAAATCCAATAAAATATTAAGAACTCGCATTAATACAGATTAGCCTTTGCACAAGCGCGCCTGCATTTCCTTACCACTCCGGACTTCGCGAAGCACCCGCAATTGAAAATGTAAGGTTTAAAATAAATTTATACTGCCGTGTGATACCGTCTGCGTTGACGTGCGTGTCCGCTTATGCGTGTATTAACTGCAATCAATAATTTCATTAAATAATAATTTAATAAAATTACCGGAAAATTCCGTAATAATTCTTATTTAATTTGATTAATGTGCACGCTCTTAATAATATTTTACCCGCATACCGTTTATTGGTTAAGCCGATATCAGCTGTTTTTCCGTACTGTTCATCATTGCATATCGGTGTTAATGGTTGTATGTATGCTTGTACGCTTTCAATATCATCGTTTTAATAAAAATGAATGAATATTACCGAGTAATTTTTCCATGCTTTCATTGTATTATTTTATTAAATAAGTTCAGTATTCATAATATTATTTCCATATGTGCCGAATTTTTGTGGACCGGTATTATTTACGTGTACATGCAAGTACTATTAATGGTGTACGTGTTGCCTGTGAATGTTCATCTCTCGTGTGCGCACTAATTTAATCACGACAGTACATATGCACATCAAAGTATGCAAATACACAGCGTGCATTAGTGTAGTAAACAGCCAAGTATAATTAGGTGATATAATAATAATTAGATGATAATTTTACTTGTATTCAAGCAAGTTAATACAAGCATTGTTATCATTCACAGTAATTATTCTAACTTTAGCATACTAGCGTTAATAAATGTGCAAGTAAAGCTAAGTAATTTCTTCATACAGATTATCACAAATGCAGTCGCAACGAATTAGATGAGTTACTCAGGCGCGAAGTTTTTAACGGTTTTCTTTTGTTAATCGATCTGTCAGCATCCCGCAGCGATAAGTAGGGCCAAGTGTTACGATTCCAGCTTTAACTTTATGCATTTTCAGCTGCGCTTTTTCATCTGGTTTATCGATTAACTAATTTGAATAACTGTTTTTTCTCTTGTCAGGTATAAAGTATGTCTGAAAAAACTTTCAAAAAAAATTTCATAAAATTAAAATTTCGATTTTGGTACGCAACTTAGTATTAACGTATTGTATTGCATCAGAAGTGCTTACCAAATTCGAATTTTTTTAAAAAATACTTTTTCTAGATGGACGTTCGTAAGAAATATCAAAGGAAGCAAGCAGGCCTTAAGCCTGAGTCGGACAGAGAGTTTATTGATCGTATGGAAGCGCAGTCCGCTGGTAACCCGCGCTCGTATGTGCGAGCCCGTGTTGTTGCGGAAAAAGATCTGGAAGACCTATCGGATGATGAAATACTATCAGAGCATCGTAAGGACGAACGATTTGTTCAGCAAGGGTACCGGCTGTCTTTTGACAGCGATTTCGATGAGCACGGCAATGTGTTAATGCCGGATCTGTCGCGTCCTGTCGACTACGAGGCGGAAATCCCAAGCAACCTTTCAGTCAGTGAGACGGTGCGGAGCCATCTCATTGTACTTATAAGCGCTTCAAAGTGGTTCTGTTCAATGAACGCAAAGGATTTCTATCATGTGGATGAAAATTTATTAACTGTCAAAAAAATTGTCGGGTGCTTGATAGAAGAGCACGGCAGTGTTAACGCCCATAAGGCATCTGCAGTTCTGAAGTATTGCGCCCAGCTTGGTGGGATGAAGAAGGAGATGTTGCTTAAAAATCTGAAACGCTGATGTGTTGAATAGCTAAGAAGAGTCCTGCTGTGAGCATTTATCGATGATGCTGGCGAGTAATCCTTATTTGTATACGCTTGTATATATATCGTTTTCAAGGCCAGGTGGCATCAGTTATCCAGGTGCAGTACGGCATACTGTAGGCGTATCACGGAGTTTCTAAAATGACCAATCTGTGCACAGTAATAGTGACCAAGTGGCACAGTCGTACGGCCGCAATCGGTAATACACATGTGAATCGTACATACATACACAGATCACTGATTCAGCACTGCGGTCAGCATTCACACATTCTTCCCGCTCGGTTATTACATTCATTTCAAAATTTGAAAGTGAGCAGTTCATTTTAAATCTGGAACGCTACCATTTTGGACAATATTTTCGAACGTGTAGACTTTTGATCTGTGCTCGTACGCTATGTCCAGTTTTAAGTTATGGCCAGGCCGAAGCAACCCCGCACTAGAACTGCAAAGGACACTTTGCTCTTCCGGGCGTTGGTTAACTCCTACGCTGCACGACTATCTTCTTCCCACACCGGAAGAGATGTCGAGCTGCTGCGGGTTATACTACAAGCTGTTTTATCCACAAGAGGAGCAGTTGCACGGCGCTTTCTCCAAAGAGCGCTCAGTCCTTATGTTGTTCGGTAACCCCAAGTCACCGCTTTGTTTCTCGCTGAGTTTTTACCAGGAATTCGAAGAGACGGTTTTTCAAACCGGTTTCGATCGTCTTACGCACTCCATTGAAGATTGTTTCGTGCATCTTGTCCCTGTTCGTCCGGACAACTGTCCCGTTTACGCTGAAGTTATCACATCGCAGCAGCTCGGTTATTTGCTGAAGTATTACACAGAATTCAACCGTGTAATACTTGATCCGTCAAATTATCAGCGTATTACCGCAATTCTTGGACCGGCGCCGAAGAAGCAGGAGTATCCCCCGTATGGCATGTTTGGTTGCGACGTATGGACTGTCGATAACCAGGTCCCATTTGTCAATAGCAACGCCGACATGTACGATCCCATTCATGCCCTGGAACCGACCCTGAATTTCCTAGACGACAAAGAAATGGATGAAATCCTCAAAGACCTGGCCAGCGACACTGAAAACAAAGAAAACCAGCCGGATGTGTATGTTCAGTCTGGATCTGGGCAGGTTTCGGACACGCCACCACCATCTCCGAAACGCCGTCAAGCTCCGAATGCGCCCGAGAAGTCGAAACGCCGTCGGTTTGTGCAGTCGAAGCTCACTCAACCATTCATTTCCCATCCGAATGCCAAGTATCCAAACCTGGGTGAGTTATTTTATAATGAAATTCAGTAAAATTCTATTGTAATAGAAAAATTCGATTTTGGTATGCAACACTGTTTACATGTGCAATTATGCGGCAGTATTGCTGACTAAAATCGATTTTTTAGCGCACCATCAGCTGCATGCTGCTAACACCTATGCAACTGGTCCAAGCAGTGCACTTGACTTTTCGTGTCCTTCCGGCGGGTTTTTTGGTCAGCCGCAGAACGATTGTGTCCCATCGGGTTCAGGATACGTGAACCAGAACGGCGCATACCTTCCGGCGCAACAAGTTCCTAACTACGGCATGGGTCTGAATGGTGGTTTTCGATCGGCATCCGATTTATACGGTAAGATACTGTACTGTCTGTGGAATCTTGCTGTTAGAGTTGTACAGTCGTGGTCCATTGGTAGGCGAGAACCGATATACTGGTTCGCCGGCCCTGGTGGAATACCCGCAACCGCCGATGTACCAGCATCAGCCGTCACGTGTAGATCAACTGCAACAGCAGCGTCAGGAAATGGAGCATCGGTTCGTTCAAGATTTCGTCAACAACGTTCCCTCAAGTCACTATGATCAGCTGAATATGGCACCACCGACACTGTCAGTTTCCGTCCGCATAAACAGTACGGCACTGGGTACTACGATGGTCCTGCTCCGATTGTTCGTCAAAACGCATTTCGATATCCTTAGTAAGTTAATCACAAGTGCTTGTGTATGCGTGCGATATTTTATTTCAATTATGCCTAAATATTTCTTCTCAATAAAGCGTATGCTGCGTAAACAATGTTGTACCATGTCATCTGAATAATCATTCTGGTCTTGATGCTGTTTTAATTAACATATTAAATGTCGCTTTACTGCGTGTTCTTTAATGATGCTGCCGAAAATTCACAACGATGTTTGCTCATTTAATATCAATAAATTCATTTCATCAGATTTAATGGAGAAATAATTATTATTATTGTAGTTATCCATTCAAAATTAATCCTGCAAGTCATCACATCACCCATGCACCACAATTTCACACAGTCGAAGATTCCTTTACAATCTACAACCACGATCCGCTCGATCCTAATGACCTGCTTCATACGTTGTATCAGCTGAAGATTTTTTTCGGCTTTCTTCTCGACTACCTGTACAAACGCCACAACGTGTATCCGTCCGATAGAGTCCGCTTGATTTTTGAGCATCATAGTTTTCCGGATCGAGCCATATCCAGTAAAGTATTGCCGGCTCGCGAACTGACTCCCGAGTACCTCGTGCACACAATTGAAAGAGTCATGCGCAGTGGCAACGCTTATTTTCTGTTCGATCAATCGCTCCGATGTACGTTCGTCCACTGCAGGGATACACTGGGATACGGTACCCGATCAATTAAAAAGAACAGAATTTCCTTCAAATTAACCGAATACCTAGAACAACGTCGGTGTGTGGTTGTTATTCGACCGTCAGTCCTCCACGATCCGAACAACGAACTGTGCTGCTCGCGTGCTATTGCCGTAAGCCTAGCGCATGCGTTGAAGTATCGAACCTTCAAAAATATATGCAAGTCTGACCGTAAAGCTCAACACACGTTGGCACAAAAGCTACGATGGGAAGCACGAGTTCCACTTGGTCCTTGCGGTTTCGATGAGCTCGACAAATTTGCGTGCGTACTGCGTGAAAAATACGACTGTCAACTCCGTGTAATTGATGCCGATCTTCAATTTGCGGAGTCTTACGACTCACCTTATTGCACGAACCTTATCATGTTGATCTTTCACAACAATCACTTCGACGCAGTCGTAAAACCGCACACGCTGCTAGGATTCACAGGTCGATGTGACATTTGTGGAAGCTTTTATCACGATAAGTGTCGCCATCGATGTTTCGGTGTGTGCAATATGTGTACGCAAATTGGATGTGTAAACAAATACAGCCCTCTTGAGCCGGATGGCCGCTTTTGCGACGACTGCTGTCGACGTTTTCGATCAATTCGGTGCTTCGAGAACCATAAAACAAAGAAAGGTTATCGAACGGGTGCACGCACGGTCTGTGAAGCTTGGCGGCGTTGCAAAGATTGCAATGGATATGTCAGTCATCCGCACAGCCAATTGTATTCTGATACACATCAATGTTTCACGCATTTGTGTACGAACTGCAAAGAATTCGTTACTACTGGACACCTTTGCTACATCCTATCTGGGGAAAAAGCTAAGAAGGAAAAGCCAAAGAAGAAAGTTGCCAAAGCAATCGTTTTGGATTCTGACGATAGTTCCGACGATGACGCCGACGATGAAGAAGAAGACCCAGAATCATCGGAGACCGATAGCACACTCGAAGAATCCCGTTCAACGACAACGTCTATTGAAGAAGAACGCCTGTGCGAAAGTGAAAGTGAATCCAGTAATTCACTGAATGAAACTGCCGTGGCAAGAAAGTCATCAAAGTTTACGAACAAGAAATTTGTTTTTGATTTTGAGGCCGGATTGGATAGCAGTCGGTACCACTACCCGAACATGGCGGCACTGATGTGCCTCGACGACGATTCGTTTGTTATGTGTTTCCGCGGCCGTGCCTGTGCGGATGATATGTTAAGTTGGATTTTCAAAAACACACGCCAGTGTACATTTCTGTCGCACAACGGGCGGAAATACGACAACTACTTTATCCTGAAATCCCTCGAAAGTCAAGGACATTACGTTACAAAGATTCAAGATGGTGCGAGCCTAACACTCGTCAAAATTCCAGGAATCAACGCACGGTTTGTGGATACGTTATCATTCATGCCACGGTCCTTAGCTGAGCTCCCGAAAGACCTGGGAATAAGTCATCTAGTGCTGAAAGGATTTTTTCCGTACACTTTCAACACTCCTGAGAACGAAAACTATGTCGGATGCATACCAGGTAAAAAAATCGAATTTAGTCTGCATCAGAGTTATTTTCGTGGGTATTCATTACAGTAATGCTTACCAAAATCGAATTTTTGCAGATAAGCAGTATTTCGGTTTGGAACGCATGTCTGCTAAGAAGAAACTAGAGTTTGATGCTTGGTACGCAGAAGCAAAAGAAATTCATGGTGACGCATACAACCTGATGGATGAGTGCGAGAAGTATTGCGTCAATGATGTTCTGGTTCTGCGCGAATGCTGCAAGATAACGCGAGCTTCATTCGAGAAACAATTTCCTGGTCTGGATCCATTTGATGAACCTACAAGCCCGTCAGCTGTGATTAAAGCGTTTCAAGTGCACTACCTTCAGCCTGACACTATTGGTATACCGCCACCAAGTGGATACGGAAGTACTCAGAATCAAAGCACAAAAGCGTTACTCTGGATTTCCGACCGTGCTCGTCGGCTCGACGAACCGATCCAAACAGTTAGGTCTGCGGAAGGTGAGAAGTATTTTGGACGAATACCTGTAGACGGGTGGTGCGCTGCAACTAGAACGGCCTACCAATTCTACGGCTGTTTCTGGCATGGATGTCCGAAATGCTTTCCGAACCCAAACAAAGTTAACACGGTGCGA